GGCTGGGGAGCCCCTCGCTGCGGCGGTGCGGAGCAGCACGGGAGGGGAACCGCGCACGGGTTGCGAAGTGCTCCGCCACGCGTGCCTCGGGGCCACGGGGGGCGGCGGGGAGCGCAAGCGGGGAAGGGTAGAGTGAAGGTTAGTGGCCAAGGGGGTCTGGATCCTGTACGTGAGCCGTGCCGAGCCCGGGAGAGCTCTCGGAGTACTTTATCAGTGGGCACGGGAAATTTGCAAGTGGTGCCGTAGTGTTTTTGGTCGGGCCCTGCCTAATTTGCTCCAGCGGATGAAAATGAGTCATCTGCACGTTGCAGTAGTTTGTCAGGAAGGGAGGGAAGTCTCTGGGTGCCAGGATCTGCTGGAAGAGCCTTGCATAGGCAGTAGATTTATTGGCCAAGCGCTCCTGCAGACCCTGATTCGAGCAGAACTGGCGTGGCTCCGTTTCGTCCCTCGTCAGAGTAGATTCAGTCATGTCTCTCCCTCTTGAAAATTCATTTCTATTTCTTTACCTTGTGTGATCAGGAATATGATGGTGAACGCAATTCAGAAGGTGAACGACATGGACGTGGAAAAGCACGACTACCCAATGGTGATACATATGACGGAGAATATGAGCATGGTCTTAGAAATGGACAGGTGGGACAGTAGCTGTGCTTATGTTTCAGCAGTTCTGTTAGTTGGGTAATATATTACAGTGGGAACTGACAAGTACTTTATCTACACCAAATATGTTTCAGGGGACCTACAGATTTACAAATGGTGCTCGCTACGTTGGAGAATATCGTCAAAACAAAAAACACGGCCAGGGCATTTTTTTTTATCCAGATGGATCAAAATATGAAGGTAAAACACAGAAAACAGTTGCAAGGATATATATAACTGGAAGGATACATTTTTGCCCCCTCTGGAATGCCAGGAGATAGTTAAATGGATTGTTCATTATTTTAAGAAGATACCTTTGCTGTGAAACTCTTTCCTTTCATTCCTCTTTTACTACAGGCTCTGTGAGGGATACAGATTTTTTTTATTTATGTAGATTTATTTATGTAGATTTATTTGGATTGTTGTGAAAAGTGTGGTATTTAGTAGCAGTTTATTCTTCTCACATCTTCCTTTCAAGTGGTGTATTCCAAGTCCTGAGTAATACTGAACACCTCTAAAAATCACTACAATCTTGTATCAATTAATATAGAAATTAGCTAGATTCATACATGATAACTTTACAAAACGACCACTACACAGCACAATGCAATATACCACATCTCATTCTATTTTTTATCATGTTCTCATTAAAGGAGACTGGGTGGATGACCAGAGACATGGCTATGGAGTTTATACCTATGCAAATGGAGACAGCTATACTGGAGACTGGTTTAATCACAATAGGTTTGTTTCATTCTTACAGTGATTTTTCAAGTCACCCAATGGCTTTGAAATGCAAAAGTTATAACTTTTTATTGAAAAGTTATTTTCAAGGGAGGACCTTGGCAATTAAGTCTAATCCGAGTCATTTCAGTTACTTAAATCATACAGTTGTAATACCTTAAGTATAACAACATCCTATACTCTTAATCTTCAGCAATATACAGCAAAATTATTATTTTCTCCTTAGGCATGGGCAAGGTACGTACATCTACAAAGACACTGGATCTAAGTATGTTGGTGGCTGGATAAATGGAAACCAGGGAGGAGCAGCTGAACTTATCCACCTAAACCACCGATTTCAGGGCATGTTTTTGAATGGAAATGTAAGTGTGCCGAAAAATTCTATATTCATATGAACAATTAACATATAGTTGCATTAATATGATCTGTTACCACTTAAAATAAGAAGCTAGGCTCTCCATTTTTTGGACCATTTCTTGAACAATAAACGTAACAGGTGAAACAGAATTAATCTGCAGGACAGAACACAAAGTTTCTCTGCATCTTTGCTTTCAAACAATATTGTTATTAACCTTTGTATTAATTTCACAGTACAGTGCATTTTACGTTTATATGTTTAGAATGTACTAACTATAGTTTTGTTATTTTATATCTCTATAGCCTGTGGGTCGTGGCAAATATGTCTTTAACAATGGATGTGAACAGCACGGTGAATACGTACGCTCAGAGCAGGTAAAAGTAACAACGCAAACTATACTGAATATTGAAGAATGCTGTGAGTAAATCTACTGTCAAGTAATCTATAAAATGTCTTATAAATACTGGACTTAAAGTAGATCTAACCAGGAGGGAAGAGTAGTGGAGAGATGGTTAATAGGCCCGTCACAGCCATTCTGTTTAATAGATAGGCAACATTTTACCTCTAAGACAGAAAGCTGAAAGGTGTTAGTCATTCATAGTATTCAGCCAACTTCAGAGTTCTAAAGCATAGCTATTCTCTTCCAAGATTTGCAGCTGCTGAAGTTTCTCTACCTCTCAGTGCTTTAAAAGGCTACATCATTACCATTTTGTGCTGGTTTTAGAACACAGAAACATCATCTTCGCCACTCCCTTAATACCTGCTGGATGCGATTCTGGATTTTTTGAGTCCTCTTTTAGAATCACAGAATGGTTGAGGTTGGAAGGGACCTCTGGAGATCATCTAGTCCAACCCCCCTGCTCAAGCAGGGTCCTCTAGAGCACATTTCTCAGGATCGCATCCAGGTGGGTTTTGAATATCTCCCTCTTTAGGCTAAAGAGGAGGAAGAAGAGGAGGAGGAACGCTCATTACTCGTTGCACCAAAATGGAAAGTGACAGATATTACCAAAGTAACACTCTGGACACCCAATGTAGAGGAACCACCTTCTCCGAAAGAAGCCCTCCAGACAGCAGCAGAAGCAGCAGCAGAAGCAGCAGCAGAAGCAGCAGCAGAAGCAGCAACAACAGCTGTAGAGAAAGAAATGCCATCAAGTGCAGGTTTGCTCTGATGGACAGCTGGAAATATGCTTCAGACATTCTTCAAATATCCCCTGAACCCATGTTGCTTGGTTTTAATTTCTGATGGTGCAAGAGGCTTTTTTTTGCTTAGCCTCTAAAAAGAGGCTAAGAAGAAAAAAGCCTCTACTGAGAGGCCTTTTTTGGTTATAATTTACCGAGTGTAGAGTATTAGGAACTTCCAAACCTATTCATAAGCTGCACAAGACGTACCTCTGATTTATCTCATATAGTATAAGATACAACTGTCTTGGGAAGCCATTTTAATCTCTTTCATGGCCTGATAGACAGACAGACAGATAAACAGTTGCAGAAAAGTTGGTGCTATTTCTCCCCAGAACTGCAGATTTCAGTCTGAGTTATTAGTTGCTGCATGACAATGACCAGGTGCAGATTTGTAAAAATTAATTTTCTTGCTCAAAGGAGACGTATTTCTAATTTCTCATGTTTCAGTCACTGATGAGTCTGCTGAGGGTGGGGATGATGAGCCTTCTCCTCCTGAAGTATTCAGTGAAGTTTTGAGCCCAATGAAGGAAGCAGAAGAGGAAGAGGAAGAGGAGGAAAGCAGAGAGGAAGAAGAAAACAAAGAAGATGAAGAGGATCAAGATAAGGAAGGAAGCAGGAGCAATCAGGTTGGTTGCATGACATGATGCATGTCAGTCAGCTGAAAACCTGCCACTGCTGGGAGGTCTGTTATCATGCTGAAGACAGTATGGGAAGCTCCACTTTTCATGAAGGGGCCAGTCCTCTAAAGAGATCTGCTGTTTTTGAGTAGTCAGGTTCATATATCTGAACTGTTTGTAGAAATTAGAAATCACACCACTGTGCAGCATCGTCTGTGCACGTACAGTTGACAGCTGCAAGAACTGCTAGGAGTCTGTAGTTAACAAAACTGAGTTTATAAGTTATTACACGTTTGTGCTAAAATGAGAAAACAGATTCCAGAGCCTTAGGAATTCTGGGGTTTTTGAGCACCCCACTTTTTCCCCTTGAATGAAACTGTATATTCTTATTCTCTCAACTGGAATTAAAGAACAGACAAAAACTATTTTGAAGAAACAAGTCTTAGGTATACATTATGAGCTGAACACTTAGCCAGAAGTTGGCATCTGACTGGTTTCTTCTATTACAGAATAAAGAGAGTTAGAACTTGGGTGCTCAGGTTTTCTTCTAGGCAGTTGAGAAATCTGCTTTAATACAAAACAACTAAGAAACAGCATAAAAGGGGGCAATCTATGTTTACCCATATTTAGTCAATAAGCCTCCACCCATTTAAAATGGGTTGTTTGCATTTATTAAATGTTAACGTCTGCAAAGCTACATATTTGATGCTGGGAAACATCAGGTAAATTTCTCCATTTATAATTAGTCCATATCCCAATAAATCAAAGCAAAAGCTGAGGTCAGAAACACTGTTACACCCTTTGAACATACACTGGAGGTATACCCTCAACATTTGGGGTAGCTCTTTGAATTCATCTAATTTACTTGCTCTCATTCTTTGCCCATCACCTCTGAAGCCGCTCTCCTGCTTCAGGGCAGACTAGTCAGCTAGCTGATATGAGGTGTAGGACTGACATCTAACAGCATCTCAGAGCTCAGATCAGATCCAGCAGGAATCTAAGCAGGGTTCCTGCAGAGCTCTGCTTTGAATTTGGGAAAAGTTCTTTGAGCCTGGTTTGTCTCAGACTCTTTGATTCAAACAAACATTTTTTGAATGAACTTGATTCTAACGCATTTTCTGGCCTACCCCAAGAAGACAGTTCTGGCATCCCCATTGTTTTTTGAAGAACAAAGTGGACCAATTATGTGTGGAAGCATAGAAATGTGATAGATGTTCTAGAAGTTCATTTTAGCTCTTTCATTATGTTGAAAAAATTTTAAAAGGCAGCGGTTTATTTCTAGGATAATTAGGCAACATATGTTTCCTTATCTTTATTGGTTTAGCAAGTTTAAGTTATAGTAAGAGGAAACGATTAGAAGAAAATATGCATTGTCCCATAGCCATCACTGTTTTCCCCCACACAGAATCAAAGGAAACAGGAACTGGATACAACTAAAGAGGAATAGAGCCAAAAAAGGACATTTCAGAGTAAATTGTTTCGGTATGGTAAGCCTGTAATACTTTTATAATAAAAATTTCTTTAACTGAGCCTTTTAATTGAAAATACTGTCACTTCTGTGTGGAATATATATTTCTGGCACACTTATGATCTCAGAGAGTGCTGTCTCAAGACCACTTTCTTTATTCCATGCAGCAGGTTATCAGTTGCTGATATTCTTGTTGATTATTCTGATTAAATGTTGATTATTCTGGCGTCATAAAGCTGTGTCCTTACATGCTTGCAGAATCAGGGCTTTGAAACACTTGACATACAAGTTCTTAAATGGAACGTAAATACATGCTATAACAGATCAGACCACATATGCCTGTAGACAAGTATATTGCTTCTGACAATCTGTATTCAGTTCTTCACAGGAAGATTACTTCCATGCCTGACAAGCACCTTAAGGTTGGCCAAAAATTCAGAACCTGGTATCCATCTTGGAAATTAGTTAAAGTGCTAGAAAGCAATCATAAAATCATTTATGTTGGAAGGGACCTCGGAGTTGTCTAATCCAACCTCCTGCTCAGACCAAGGTCAACAATAATTCAAATCACGTTTCTCAGGTTTTTGTCCAGTCAAGTCTAGAAAACATCAAAGGATGGAGGTTGCGCAACCTCTTAGCAACATGTTCCAATACTTAGTTGTCCTCAGAGTGAAACATTTTTTCCTTATATTCAGTTATAACCTCCCATGTTTCAGTTTATGACCACCATGTCTTGTTCTCCTATTCTGTTCAGAAACAAAGAAACCCCTGGCTCTGTAACCCTCTTACGTATTGTAAGGCCTCTGTTATGTTCCCTAAAGCCTTCTCTTTTCCAGGCTAAGCAAGCCTAATTCCATCACTTTCTTCTCACAGGTCATAGGCTCACAGCCATCTCAGTGGCCTGCTGCTGGATTTGCCCAAGTTTATCAACAGTCTTCTAGTACTGAATTGGATGCAGTATTCCAGATGCAGTCTGGTATGAGATTTTTCAAGAGACCACAGACTCAAACCTCTCCCATTCTGGTAGTTCCTCTTTTCCTTGAGCCTTGTCTCTATGTACAGAGACCTGGGAGGTCTTGTTGATGAAGATAAAGACAGCATTAGGCACCCCTAGTTGTATCTATATCTACGGTCACTAGACCACCAGTTATGGGCCCACATTTTCCTTATTTATTCCTTTTCCTGTTCATGTAGCTGTAGAAGCTCTTCTGGTTGCCCTAAGCCCTCCTTTGCCAGTTTCAAACTGAGTTTTGCTTTCCTAACACCACCCTTAGATGCTAGGGTGGTATTTTTAAATTCCTTCATTGTAGCTTGTCCTTGCTTCCACCTTCTGTATACTACTACTTTTTTTAATCTTGCAGCTCAGTCTCAAGTGCCTGATTTAGCTTGGGGCCTTAAGTTGTTTACATGAAACTTTATCTACTTCCTCCTCCTGATCAGATTATCTGTAAGAAAATTACCACCATTATGTCACACTTACTGTTCTCTCCTCCAACCTGCAAGCTCTCAACCAGCGTGTAGGCTGTTCCGCAGAAGAGCTCCATTTATTCGAGCTGGTCTTTAACATAGAGGATAACCCTCCTTCTCATCTTCCCTTCCTGTCTTTGCTAGTGAGCCTGTATTCATCCACTGGAGAGCTCCATTTGTTTCAGCTGTCCTACCAAGTTGCAGTTTTTTCCAAGGATGTCAGAGTTCTCCATCTGCACCCAGAGCTCTAGTTCCTCCTGTTTTGCAGGATGGATCCATTTGTGCAGAAATACTTGAAGAAGGCTCCCTTTTGACTTGTTTTATCCTTCCCACGGGCTCACTTGCTCCCATGTGCTTACCACCCCTGAACTCCATTCCTTCACTTACTGTGAGATGTTATCACCATCCTCCAAGGTAGCAAGTTTAAGTCTCTCCTCACCAGGTTTGAAAACCTGTAGGCAAAATGATAGAAGCCAAAGCACTACCTGCGACAGCCACGCAGCCAGTTGTTAACTCTCAGGATTGTGTCCGCTCCTACTTGAGCCCTTCTCATGGAGGAAGGGGAAGACCACCCTGTGGGCTCCCACATCCTTTGCCCCCTCAAACCCTGTAGTCACTCTTGGTTTGCTCCAGGTCTCCCTTGGCAGTGTCATTGACGCTCACTCTGCTGACCAACAAGCAGTAACAGTTGGAGGGTGAGATGAGCCTAGGCAGTCTCTCTATAACACCCAGGATCTGTTGTTTATCTGCAAAGCAACAAGCCTCCGATGACAGCACGCCTGGTCAGCAGACAGGTGCCCTTTATCCCCTAACAGGGGATCTGCAGCTACTACCGCTCATTACTTCCTCTTGGTGTAGATGCTCAACTTGGGTCCAGCTGGCTCTGAGGGCCCCCTTAATCACACCTGTCCCCTCCCCTCCTGTCCATGCTCTGTACTGACTCTGTGTTCAGGTTTGAGCTGGGAAAAGCGAGCCTTTCTTCTACTGCCAGGTTGCTTCCAGCAACCTTCCTCAGGGTAGCTCCCATCCACCACTCTGCCCCGCCATCCTCCATTCTCACACCACGTGGGCTGTCATCTCTGCAGGGCCCCTGCGAGACTCTGAAAACCTCCCACATGCCCTCCAGTGGGGCACAGCCCACTCACCTCCTCCCACAGGCTCTTCACCTGGTGGCACAGCCCAGGGCCATGCACACCTCCCACAGGGACACCATCATCATTCTCAACCCTAGCTGGGCTTTCCCTCCAGCTACAGACAGAGACACCACCTCCCTCTGCCCAAGCCCGCTTAGATACACCAGGGGCACTTCCTCAGTCAGTGCTAGAGATGAAGCCCAGCAGCCCATCACCCTGGTACTGCACAATCCCACACTGTTTGGAGCAGAGCTTCTGTCCCCTCTCACATCTTGCCACCCACACAAGTACCAAAACCTCTCTACTGAACTCCCACCTAGGTAGCTGTTCCAGCACTCTCTAATCAGCAACCAGCTAACAATTAAACCTGCAGGCCCTTTTTAATCAAGAACTTGTCAATCAGGAAACAGCTGGGAAGAGATACCAGTTGCAGAAGCCCCTAAAGGCTATCAGGATCAAAAGGTTTTATATAAATAGTTTAGTAAGTTTAAAGTATGAAGCAAGGCAGAGCTGCACAAAATATTGAGCAAGCACTAAATGCCATAAATGGGTCTTTTCTCCTCTTCTGCAGGTGAATAAAGCTACTCTAAAACATTTCTTCCTATTAATATGTAAACAGTAGCTTAATTGTTAACATGTGTATGTGTCTGCCTTTATGGCTTTCTCATATTGTTAGAGTATTGGTATGAATGTTGATGGGCTTGGAACCTGGGATGAAGAGTTACCAGGCAGTAGCAGCTTGTTTTTAAAGTAAAATAACTGATTTTGGCCCAGATGAGGTAAGAGACGTTGGACCAATATTGCTGAAACATGACTCATTTTTCTCTTATTCACCTTAAAGCAGGAAATCTGTACTAAAATTTTATTTCAGGAGAAAAGGGGGAAACATTTTAACAAGTTCCTTTTCTTTACAACTCACAATTTCAGGCAAGATAAGCCCAGAAGTGTGAAAGTTAGTGATAAAAATGAATTAACAGAAAGTGGTGATAAGGAGACGAGATATATGAAATAAATAGAGTTTATTACTTCTCCCTGTAGTTTTTCCCCTAAAATGTTAAAACATGGTATGTTAAAACATCGGAAATGTTGTTGTGAGAAATATCATCAAGAAAATTCCCACGTGATCATTTCCGTCATATCTTACATGTCACTTTGTTTACAATTTTTGTGTGACCTCTGTGAGCCCTTTTAGAAGCGGTTATCTTTGTCATTTACTGTACATCCTCTTTTTGCTTTCTTTGGTGAACAGAAGTGCTGCATCTCCATATCAGTGTAGCTAGATCAAAGTAACCTTGAAAGTAATGTTGGGGTTTTTGTTTTTTCATGAAATCCTACAAGTCAATAGTTGCTTGTTTTAATATATTCCACTGTAAATTTGAGAAATATCTGCACAACATATTTCACCCTAACTCATTTCCATTTTTATGGTAGTCTTCAGTTCAAACTGAATTCATTCTTGGCTGATGTATGAAATTGCCTTTTCCCCTGTAGCAGCCAGTACTGTACTGTTTATTAGCACCTGAGTGACCTCCAGTGGTATACCTGCAAAAAGTGCATCCTATCTGCCACGCAATCAAGGATAGCTGAGGACGTCTGGAAGTCTCTAGTATGTTAAAAAGCGCTCCTGAAAAGATAATTCACTCCTTCTGGAAAACATCAGTGCTTTTGTTAGCAGAGACATTCCATTTCACTGTAACTTCCAGAAATACCTTTAGGCTAATCTGTAAACTGGTTAATAGTAGTACCTGTGTCCCTATCTGGGAGAGGGAGGAACCCCCCACAAAAGCTTGTTTTGCTAAAGTGTACCAAGCCCCTCTCACCCATCTGCCTTTTCACTTTTCAGTAGCAGGCAAATACCATTTTAAATAGTATTAGTTTATTTATATTGGAGACCTCTTCCTAAATAGTGTAATAAAGTAAGTGCTGAATGCTGGGATATGATGTTGAACTTAAGACTCTGGAGCTTTTCTTCCAGCTTTTCATCCTCAGATTATCACTCTGATGTCTGAATGGCTTATTCAAAGGCAGCACAAGTATTCTCTAAAAGTATTAGACCATTTTAACCATATTTACGTAATATTGATTTAGGTGCCTAACTTTATGCCTTTAAACCTATGACTTGTAAGCCACTATGGGTAAGTCTGAGCTCAAGAGTCAGTAATGGTCATCGAAATATGAAGCTGCTTATGAAAAAAATGGTGTTTAGAGTATCTATGTTCCACAAATCTTAAAAAATCATTAGGAAATGCCATCATATTTGACTTTCAGACCTGCTTCTTCCCCAAAGACAGGCCTCTCTTGAAATTTGACAAAGAGGCTGGTCACGAGAGTTCATTGTAGCTACAGGAGGCACCTGGGTTCTCCAGTTCTCTCACACCAAGGAGGTCTTGCAGTGCACCTATTTCCGCCTCAAAATGCAAGTATCTCTCAGAAAGAGGCCCATTTCACATTCACAGATGATAAGAGAAATGAGACCTATTTGACCCGTTGTCTAAAGTAGGCTTTTCCCTCTTTATTCCACTTCATGCTAAGGAAATTTAAGCTATTTTCCATAAGTGTTATGATCTATGCATGCAAGATGCAGGGAACATCCGTTCTGGTCTGTCAGATTTTATGAGTCTTCACTTCCTTCAAGTTTGAGGGACTGCAGGGGGATAGCTTGCAGTATCTAGGACTTCTTTTCTTCTAAGAAGACTCCACATGCAGTGGAACATAAGTGAACATCTTTTTTTTTTGGAGGGCTGTGCTGGAAGAGCAAACTGTCTTCCCCCCTGCCCCTTTAGAGGCCAATACATTTTTATACAGTAGAAAGTAGATTTTTTTTAAATGACTCTGTTCAGCCTGGGGAGTCTTACCAATTTTAATTTAGAAATAAGGCAAATATGTCAGAAATCAAATGTTAGGGGAAGGAAACGGGTTAAGGAGACATGAAATTGCTTTTGCAGTTGGTTCAACAACTTCCCCACGTACACACCCTGAAAGATGATGTCTCCTTGAAAGGGTCTGTAGGCCCAGCAAAGAGGTTATCCGTAATGTGCTTCTTTTAGAGACATAAAAAGGCATGGTTAGACTCCATGAAGGAATGCAGGGAACACATTGCTGTGCTCACTCCTGTATTCATCCAGCACAGAGCAGTTCTCTGCAGATAACAGCTCAGAATCCCAAAGTTATAGCCGCATTACCACAATGCCGTAGCTGAGCTAGTAAGTCCCATTATTTATTAAGGTTACATATTGGCATAGTTCTGTGCTGAGCTGGGTCTGTGGGAGCACCTCTCTAGGTCTGGCGTGAGCTCAAAGATCTCTGCTCAAAGCACTGCTGAGGTGTGCAGGTAAGCGAGCAGAGGAGCTACAGCACAAAAGCAGATGTCTGTGCTCTTCTGCAGCACTGAAATGCGCAGACAGCCCTGCACAACAGCACAGCCCACAGAGCCTGAAGTTTTACTGTGTACATGAAGTTGGAAACAAAGCCATAAAAGAGATTTGCATGTACATTCCTTATTCTTCCATCTGGAATAAACGACTTGGTTCCATTCGTGAAGGAGAGCAATTATTTATGATTCGTTTTCCAACTCCACATAATTACAGAGATATTCTCTTTGGCAGAGATACTTTCACAAACCACTCTTCAGAGGTTTTTTAAATAGCACAATTACTCTCCTGTGCTGTATCAGTTTCCGAACTATCCTCAAATACAGTGATCTACTATATGACTTCAAACTAAACGCCATGCTATATAATAAATGAATTTCCTCAGACAACTGTGGGACCTCTTTTTTACATACATCTGGCTTGCTATTTTTTATAAGGACTGATGCTTGGGAAAGCTTCTTTTGAGTAAGCTGGAACTGGAGAATAGGATATATTGCATGTAGTTTTTATTTTGTATATTATTTATTCAGCTAGCTAGCCCACAAGAGAAACCTGGTAAAACACCTGGGAAATGACGACTCAGTATCAAACAAATGTAGGAACAGATGAGTCTTAAAAGACATTGCTCCCTCTTGGTACAGAAATAAAGTCATTGTATTTTAAATGTTTTCTGTTAAAACTGCATTAATGAGTTTTCATAAACAGAGTGCAACACAAAGACCTGCTATGAATTAAAAAACATATGTATGTTGGTGGCTTCTCTCTCCATTTGCTTTTTTCTTTCCCTAGTGATGTCTGAATACCAAAATGTTCCGGATTTAATCTCTGATCCTCCAAATGCTTAATTACACAAGTAGTTCTATTAAGGAGGCACCTTCAGATGAGTCAGGTTAAATGCTTCTAGCATTGTGGTCTTGTTTTTATTCTTTGCATCCTTAGAGGCAGAAGATGCTGCCTTTTGGAGTTGTTTGCACAATTTGTCTCTGAAGGAATAGGCAGGGCAGTATCTGCACAGATGCACAGCACTGACTTCACGTTACTAGAAGTTCCTGAGAGCCACAGGAGATGTGAGTGCTCCAGTGGAAAAGTCAGTACAAGGTACCAGGCTAATACTCTGTTGCAGGGTTTTCCTTCTGCACCAACCTCATGGCAGCAAAGCCTTCATGGGCTACTGCTGACGGTTGCTCACAATCTCTTTCTCCTCCTTCACTAAGTTAATTATTGAACCTGAGCATTTCTCACAGCAGCGGAAGATGAATTAGGATGGAGCAGTACCTCACCCGAGGAACCCAATCTCTACAGGATTCATGGGGTTAAACCCAGTGGAATTGTCAGTTGTCTTTGCCCCTGGGGGAAATGTGGAGAGAGTAGTCCTATATTGTCTTCTCACAGAAGAAGTCAGGGTGGATCTGGTCTTTACCATGGCTTTTTAATGCCTTTCCCAGCTTGTCATATGCATCAGGTAGTAGCTATCACCAGCAAATTTGCTGCTACGCTGTTCAGGCGAAGCTTCCTGCTTAGCTAAGGACACAGGTTTGGGGGCTCATGTTAAAAAACAAATCAGCCAACTTCCTTTGAATGCAGACAACGATACTGATGGTGGATTTCCCCTTTGCAGAGTACAGAGGCTTAGGTTAAAAGGGTTAAAATCTGAAAAGCAGATTGGCAGGATCCCAAAGAGTTCATGTGAGATCCTGCTGTTTCAGAGATGGGGAAGTGTCTTTGCAGGTGCCTTCAGAAGTAGGGTTAGTGGGGTTTCTAGCCAATACTGTCCCAGCTGCAGAAGTAGAAGAGAAGAGGGGAACAGTAATTTTCTGCTGCCACATGATGCTGAAGTCACCTTTGAACATACGAGGCTGCTGGGACTTTCCTTTCAGTGGGGATTCAGGCAAAGGCGGAGGCTGCAAGCCCCCCAAGAGGGGTAAGGTGCAAGGAAAAGGGGGGGAAACAGCAAAGAATGTGAATCCAAGCCTCTGCAAAACTACTCAAACTTCATCTAGTAAGCGCTTTGGTGTTTTGATTATAGTCCAATATGCTTCTGAAGGATAAAGAAACTGAACATGGTCCTGAGCGAGGGGTTAGAATCAGAAAGCCCAGAATGCTTTCAGGCTTCTCTCCAGACACTTTGTGAGAGGTATCAGATCTCCACAGAAAGCTGGACTGTAAAATTCAGTGATCCACTAACTCCTTCCTATACACCAGAATACAGTATTTGCTTTGTTCAAAGCTTTCATGCTGTTCTCAGGTTTAAAGAGAAATGAACATTTTAATTTTTAATCACCCATAAAGAAGCTGTAAAAGATCAAGACCGGACCCACACCCCCTTCTGAACTCAAGAAAAACTGCTCCATTTTCTATTCTTACACAGCATTTTAATAGCAAAGCTTCCAGGAGACAGTCAGAAATCTACCTGACTGCTTTATTGTGACTAAAAAATGTGCAAAGTGAAGGGAAAAAACCCTACTGTTCTGAGTCAGCAAAAATTCACATTAACTTTGCACCAATATCAATGGCTGCACAAGGAATAAGGCTTTGGGAAAATCAGGAACAAAATAGTCACTGTTTTTTTTTCTTCTTCTTCCTTGTCAGAAGAACTGAACTCAAATGTCTCTTCAAACAGTTCTGTCTAAAAGTATTCCCAAACATTATTAAATGACAAATTTCCATGTTTTTCTCTTTTCGAAGGGTATGATAGGAATGACTGTTGCAGTGTTCTTCATTCTTGTTCAAAACAACAACTGCTGCTTCCTCCCCTCCCTCGATCACTGTAGATCATATTTAGGCAAATAATTTTGTGACTGTTTTCCCACAAGGTGTCACCATAGGTTAATACCACTACATACCATGACAGACCTTTATCAAAAGTTTACCCTTTTCATTTTTTAAGATTAAACAAAACAATCAAATCTATTAAAGTACATAAGCTTTCCTCCTTCAGTAATGAAGTCGATCAAATTGAAGAAAATTAAAATGGGAAAAAGTAAAATCTGCTTTTTAGAGTTGCATAAAAATGAAGAAACTGGAAAATAATTTCCTATGTCTTTTGTTTACTACGGAAACAACTTGAAACCCTTCAGAGACAACTTCTTCATTTCATCTGTGTTCAGCATTTTTTTTCGTATTATGAGCACACCACACTGTCTGGGAAGTCTATCTATTAGCTGATATTTTTTACAACTAGGAACACTCACATGTTAAGGATATGATTTCAACTTTGATCCTGGAAAGTGTCCTTAGGAGGAGAACCTGTGCTCAGCTGGAGTTCCAGGAAGCCAAAAGTGGCATCATTTTGCATGGAACAGTTTGTCCTTGCTCTTTCGTTACAAAGATTGAAATCCACTTTTGCTTGCTATCTCTGCTGTTTGTTTTTTCTGTTCAGTTAATTTGGGCAGTGAGAACAGATCAGAATCACAGAATCACAGAATGACCAGTGCTGGAAGGGACCTCTGGAGATCATCTAGTCCAACTCCCCTGCTCAGGCAGGGTCCTCTGGAGTATATTTCCCAGCATCACATCCAGGCAGGTTTTGAATATCTCCAGGGAAGGAGACTCCACAACCTCTCTGGACAACCAGTTTCTAAAAATTGAAGTATTTTGTCACTAAGCATTTCTCCTCACCTGCTCAGCACTGCAGTGTCTGGACTGGAAAACACTGCAAGAGAACTATTTAAGTCCTCAAACCCTCTTTGTCACATTCAAAGCAATTTTATTCGTTGCATTCACTGAATTTAAATTCACTAGAGTGCATCTGTATCAAAAATATATACATATATATAACATTGTGGGATTTTGGTTCAGGTGTCTTAGCAGTCTTCGTAACAAGCATACTTTTTCACAAATGATGTTCTTTATGTTCTGTGTGTCCTTTGATTGCATGACAAGATTGGATAAATCGGTTGAAACCTTCTCCGATGTCTCCAGCGGTAATGAAGCTCCTACCAGATGGAGAGGCGCTTCCTCCAAGGGTGGTCACTTCCTCTTGGCAGCTGCCTGCTGGGCTGGGCTGCACATGCTTGTTACTGGTAGGAGCTTAACAGACATTAACGCTGACAGAGTTAGAGTGTGATACATTGGCTTTTAGTCACATTATTTCTGCAGGCCAGTAGGAGTAAAAAGCAGAGACTGTGGTCTCTGCTGTCACTGTGGTGGCAGTTTAGGAAAGTTGTTCAAAGAATAGTAAGATCCTCCTTTTAAAGATTATTTTTTGGAATAGAACCACACCGAAAAATATTTTAGTGCTTACTGAGTGCAAAGAGAGATTTTATTTTGTGTTTCATTTTGTCATTTTAGAAGGAAGACCCATATTCCTAACCCAAACTAGTATTTACAGTATAATTAATGTAAGAGATATTATGGAAAAAAAAATCTAATTTCTAAATAGGTAAGGGAAAATTTTCCAATGAAAGCACATGAAATTTTACCTCAGTGATGCTTTAAAAATGACCAATCTTTTAAACAGCTTTGGACGTTCCTATACCTGGGGGAACTTTCCTCTTTCTCTTTCTCGTCCATTAGCACCAAGTTTGTGCCCTGTGGGCAGGCGCGTCGCATAAGGGAAGGAAAATAGGTCCCACCTCCTCCTCCTCCATATCTCGTCCTGGCTCCATCCCCAGGTGGGCAGCATTTCATGGTATGTTAAAACCAGGCCAGGTCCCTATCCATAGACCTTTATCCCCAGCATTAGCTCGATGCAGACACGTGTACTAAAATAGGCACAACACCAGCAGCAGTGGGCCAAGCCCCTGGCAGAGCCCGGCTCCTGGGCCCATCGCTGATGGAGGCGTTTGAGAGCACGCTTGGGTCTGGCCCTCACGGCTTCTCCTGTGGCACCTGTCCTACGGCTTGATAAAATCAGAGCAGATCACGCCAAAAACAGCAGCATCTGCAGAGGGGAAGATCCCACGGGAGCACTGCAGGGTGGGCAATGTCTCCTCTGCTGCTCCGTGTCCCGGCCCCGTCTCCCCACCATCCCAACGTCCCCCCTCCCACCCTGTCCCCCAGGGACAGGCCTCTTGGCGAGAAAGTGGGGCGCCCTGCGCGGATAGGCGCTCGCAGTGGGGCCGCTTTTCGTCCACGGGCGACGAGGCTTGCCCCCGAAGACACAGCCAAGTGCAGCCCTGGGGGAGTGCAGCGGTTTAATCAGAGATGGCTTTTAGTGGTTGCTAGCCTGGCTGCGTGCACCGTGGAGATGTCACCTCCCCACCCTGTTACCTTGCTCTTCTCCTATATGTTAGTTTTCTTGTTACGGCACAGGCCTTTCTCGGGTATAAGCTCTGACTCAGAGCTCTGCTTCGAGACCACAGAGGAGCAGTGCGTCTGTCTCCGGGGTCAGGGCAAAATTGTTGCTCCTCACATCTACCCCTCTCAGACGGGTGAGACATGGGGAAGCAGCCAAGTCGCAGCCTCCTCAGGAGGTTGGTGGCATGCATGCAGAGCCATGTCAAGAAGGAATGGGGAGATTAAGATTGAAAATGAAAATGATGTCAATCATATTAAGAGAGAAAGGAAAGCCTCCGTTTTTCCTCTCCTTGAAACAAATGCTTGTGCTTTCTCAGAGGTAGTTGTCTGAGAGGAGCATTTATAAAGAAAATCTGAACCAGTGAAAAGACCTGTTCCTGTTTGTGCATAAGATTTTGGGACTATGTTTCCTTAACCAAAAAAATAACCAAGAGAAAAGCCTTCCAGGTGAACCATCCTGATGGGTGTATCACCATTTATATAATTTGGCATAGAACAACACAAAATAAAGCTGTTGTCTTGCAAGTGCCATCTCAGGAAACATTCAGCCGTTAGAGTTGCTCACGTTGGGTTTTGTAACTAGTACAACAAGGCAGGTATCTGTTTGTTTCAGCAACATTAAAGCAATCAGTTCAGTTTTCTATGAAAAGAAATCATTGAGTCCATTTTGCAAAATGAACCATCTCAGAATCAGTGAGTGGAGAAGCTGCTGTGATAGAAAATGAATCGCCTTTGTAGAGGAGGTAAATAAATAATCAGTATGATGTTTCTCCTCCCGTCCTCTCACAGAACTAGAACAGTCAATAGGAAACCAAGTGGCTTTAGGTACCGTCGATCTCCTCTTCCAATGGGAGAATGGTCTAGATGACTTTTTTCAGTTCAAATATCTCAGTTTGTCTGAAAATTTCTAAGTGCATGAAAAAAGTAATTCTTATTGGCTGTATGTTGCTCTTGGAAAATGCAACAGTTTTCTTTTGTGCCTGGAATAGAATTGCAATGGAATTTATAACCAGGTAATTCTATATCCTATATTTTCTGAAGCGTTATTGCTCAATTTTATGCCAGTTCCTACTTTCCTTCTTCTCAGTCACTGAAATAAAAAAATATATTCAGGCACCAAACTCAGAAGTACTTATTGTTCTTAGACAACTTAGAAAGAGTAATTCCCAGAAGTTGTATTGTGAATGAATCCCTGGACTGTGCCAAATAATTAATTGTCGTTTCATTTCTGACAATTTCAAAGACAGAGCTGGGCTTCTAATCACCCAGGATGCCATTTCTCCAATTAAATGCTGCATTTGCTCCATGAGTTAGCGTCTTCACTGGTGGATTAGCCAACTGCCATTTGTTCTCCTCGTTAAGCTCTTCACAGAAGCACATGCCCAGAGAAGGGATCTAGGAAAGAAGGACACAAGCAGGAATTACTAGTAGAGTCTTTACTTTGGTGTGGAGGACAGAGTTTTGCTGCAAAACAGAAGAGGACAGATCCTGAGAACATTCCGGGAATACATACCAGGATAGTTTGTCATTTCTGAAATGAACTGAAAACGGAAAGGAGGCCTGTTGGACACTAGCTGAGCTTGTGCCATCACCCCAAATTCACACCTGGATTTGATGATCAAGCTGTATTCACTTCTTATGCATCATACCGGTAGTAAAAATACAGCTAAAGACTAAATGCTCCCCTTCGCAATACCAGGGCAGCTGGTATTACCAATACGTCCTGGACAAAAGGGAAACTGGGATGAAGAAATCTGCTACTGGTGATAACGCACAAATCAAAAAATGTACATATACCTTGGACAACAAGTCCCAAGTGCAGACCTGAATTGTAAAGCTAGCAGCAAAACCCATCTCCGTTTCAATCTGAAGCTGAGCAAATAAAGTGTGTACATACAGTGACCTAAAAACACACAACTTCTTAGAGAGTGACTCGTTGAATATAGCTGATTTTAGACTCACAACAACACTGGGAGAAGAGGGAAGACTCCTAGTCCTGTTTCTATACTAACGAGGCTAGCTCCAGATGGAAAGGTTTTCAAACGTTCTTATTGTGTTACTATTACTTGACATTGACTTTCTGTGGAAATTGCATGAAACTTTTCTCCAAAGACTTGGTTTCTAGCCATATACAGTTCACGAGGAGAAAATGCATCTCTTGAACACCAATGCTATGCTAAAACTACATGAAATTCCCTTTGTAGTGAGGGAACTAATGTCGTTGGTATTAGCATGCAGTTACATGTATGCCTCACAGCATAAGCAAGCTCCTTATTCAAAATAGAATAATACAAAAAGAAAACTTCTCACTGAAAAAACTTCTTACCTTTCGGACAACCTGGGCAAAGTCACTGCTTTCTCTGGCTGGGAGCCCTACGAGAGGTCGGGTGAAAGATGCCAAGGAGGAGCCATGGCCCACAATGAGGATGACACCTGACATATTAGAATAAACCAAGAAAAGTAGTAAGGGAGATGTAACACTATCTGATGATCATGCTGATAAGTGCGAGGCTGTTCTGGGCCTCTTTATTTTTGTAGACCTCTTTGATAAGTGTAGCAGGGTGTATTGTGCTGGTCAGAAAAAGTCTCACGTATCATATGCATGCTAGTGAGGAAAAGCATTTGCTAGTGAAAGAGAAAAACTAGCTTTACAGAAAAGCACCTTATCTGATGTTGAGCTATATCCTGATGTAGAAAGACCAAGGAAAGATTATACTTTTGCAATGAAGTATTCTACTGTCTTCTGTTTAATTTTGCTTTTTTGTTTCTATCCCAAGTTTATATATATATATATACACATATATAATCTTATATACATTTGATGTAGTATAGTGATGGCCAAGGACTAAGTGTCTGCCTTAAAGCGCTGGGCCATACCAACAATCCGTGACAAATGTGCTTCTAAGAGCAAATTACTACCAGTTTCTGAACCTGTTGCTGAAAGTGTATGATGGGATATACAAAGATCTGAAACGTTTACCTTTGCTGGGGCAGGCGGTGACAATCTGTTTTATAACTGTGGAGCTTCTGCTTACATAGTCTTCATAACTTTCTGACGGCACCAGAGAAGAGACTGAGAAGTTACCCCTGACAATAAAATCATAAGAAAGTGTTAATCTAGATGAACATTGGGACACTGTTAGCACTGTTGAATGAGTACACAGAGAAAAGGTACTTGGTTGAAAGGATATAGGCCTATCCACTGACATAGCTGGTATACTGATACTGCAGCTGGCATGGGACATCAGCTTCCTCCGTAGTAATTTCCATTAAATCTTCTGGCCAAATCTTATAGCCCACAAAGCTGGCTAGCACCAGAGGCAAGGAAAACCACACTTGAATAAAACTTATAATTTAGAGTAGAGATTATTTAAAATAGGATTTTTGCCTGAGAAAAGCTTGTGCTTTGCACAATTCAGCTAGGAAAAACCATTGCCCAGGTGCGCAGACTGGAGTGTACCTGCCTGGATGCAGACTTACAGAGCTGTCCAGCTCTAGCAATCCTGACCAAGTTCATACCATAGGCAAGACTCTGATGATGTGAATGATTTCAAGATTTGGTCTCTCGGGGTTAGTCTCCTTAATAGACGAAACAAACCAAAATCAACAACTAAAAAAGCATATGTGCTTTAGTTGAACAAATGCATGGAAAAGACTTTTCTTCCTAGAATTAAAAAAATGTATGTTTCCAAGAAAATGTATCACAATGTGCCACTCCTCTGTATCTGAGCACTTCTATTAAGACCAGGCTTTCCTCTTTCTTTTTTATAGAGAGGTTCTTCAGACAATGAAAAAATCCTTTTCCAAAAAAGTAAGAGCCAGATCTTCAAACTACTGTAACCCAGGGCAGCTTCACTGAGCGGACATGACTTGATAAATACCATGTACCCTTCCCAGACCAGGCTCAAAGCTCCTCAGCAACTTTCACAAAACCAGATCATGCCAACTTACAGAGGAGGGTTGGGAACTGCTGTGGGCAGGCTCCGTGACCTCAGCCGAGAGCAGAGGGAAGAGCCTGCGGTGTGCTGACGGTGCCATGGCCAGGGGGCCAGTGGTGGTGCAGTGCTGGCTGGGGCTGGGAAGGCCACCTTCACTGGCTGCGACTGCTGCCCACCAGCCTTCCTCTCAGCAGACTCCTGCTTGTGAAATCTGCCTACTTAGCTGATGTTCTAGTTTAAGCTGGTCCGTGTCCTGTCCTCCGGGTAAGATTGCCTGCATCAATTAGTTATCTCCATCGTTAAGGTGTCCATGCACGTCCATGCCATGCCACGGCATTCTTGGTGCCAGAATTCAACCTCCTCAAACTCATTTCCTATTTTTCATTTCATCCTCTTACTATATATCTTTCCTGGGAACCAGAGAGATTCACAGCTAGGGCTAGTAAACGTGGTTAGTCATGTGCTGAGATACAATACAGGATGCTGATTTTCTTCTACAAACAACCCTCCCCTCCTTCCCCCAGTCTGACTGCCTCCTTACCCCATAAATAGGCAGTAGTGAGATTAGATTAATATATTGGCCTAAGGTATGGTATCATAATGTATTTTACAGGTGAGCCCTCAGTACGTTATGTCAGTACAAGCTGCAGAAGCAGAAAATAGGTGGTAAAACTGTGTGACAGGCTCATCTAAATTTTTAACTATAGTTAATATTAATTCTGGCTAGGCGAGAGGAGTCTAGAATGGTGGACCAAAACTGGTCAGCCTTTTGGCAGAGCTACAATTTTTTTTATATATTGGCCTTTAGCACCTCAGTCCCTTCAATATTAACCCCGTTATTAACTGCTTGAGCTGCAACTGAACTGAGCACCCCCAACAAAGATCAGACACCCATACCATAGCTTCTGTGCCCATTGGGTATATGTGGAAGCAGGTGCTGGCCCAAGTGGCTTCCAGGCTAAACAATAACATAGGCGTTCAGCCCAGGTTAAGGTCTCAGTGGTAGTGCCATGTCCAGCTGTGAGTCCTACAGTTCAAGTGAGATGAGGACCAAGTAGAGATAATCCAGAGGAGAGCAGTAAACAGAGGTCCAGAAAGCACAACGTACAAGGAAAGTTTAGAAGACTTTAGCTTGGAGAAAAAGACTGAAAAAGGATATGATAGAAGTCTGCAAAGGGCTGTTATGAAGAATAAAGGAAGGATCTGTCCTCCATGTACAAAGTGAAGAGGAAAGAAATAAGCAGCTTACATTGAAGGAAGAAAGCTCTAGGTTAGAAACGTTTCTCAAGTAAGAATAGTGCGCAGGGGGACTGGTTCCCAAGGTAGATCTTTGAGTGTCTGCACTTGTCGCTCTTTAAGAGCACAAATGGCAAAGGCAGAGTTTATCCTGCTTCAGGACAGGGAGCAGGGAGTATCTACCACCCTTCTGCTGCTGTGAAAGGGTGAGAGGAGAGAGAAAGGCAAATTAAATCTCACTAACTTTAGCTGCCTACAATTTAGGTGTCCGTCTAGGTGAATTGAGACAAATAAGCCCCTGCAGAGAGAAATTCATGCTATCTAAAGTATCTGACAAAGACTAAGACAGAAAATCGCCCTCTGGAGATGCCCCGTCTTTCTACTGATGAGAAGGCTGCTAGATAACTACATCAGCATGGGCACCCAACTTGGAGATGGCTGCAATTAGGTGAGGTGAATCTCAAAATGATTTTATCTCAGCCACATAACACCTGGGCAGCTGATGCTTCAGCACCACTCACTTGCATTGCCTCCTAGTGGCACTAGAAACAGGCAACCTTGGGCCAAGGCCACTACTGATGGGAAATGGTCAGGGACTTCAGCCTAGTCAAAGGTTGTCCCTCTGTGGTGGGTGAATACATTAAAACTACCCCCTGGAACCAGTGAATTTTGAATTCTGTCTGTGACAGGAAGAAAACAAGAAAACATTGTCACATGTGCAAGTTGATAGCTCATCCACTCTGTTTCTGATCACAGTGAGTTTTGAGGGGTGGTGTGAAAGCTGTAGTTAGCACTGCTTCAGAGCTTTCCCACTGAATTTTCCATGGATCCCCACTTGCACCCTTTTCTATGTGGAAGTTGGTTAATTTTTGAGACAAGTGAGTCTGTATAGAAAAAAACTAGGGGAAGTAGCCCTGCTGGTGGTAAAACACAACAGGACATGCCGTGACTCAAGAAAATGAAGGATTTTTTACCTTCTTGTGATTTAAAATGGAGACATTTGCTTGGCTGTAAGAAATAGGTTAAGGCATGAGACGTTTCCTTTCACCCTTTCTTACACATGTGGGAAACCCCAGAGATACTTACTTTTATTAGCTATTTCCTGGATCTGGCTGTGCACTGCAAACACAGAGCTGCCTGGTTTGTGAGCAAGATGAAGAGCAAGCCTGAATTGGAGGCTTATCATTTCCTGCTCTGCAGTGGTTTGCGAGTGCTTAGAAGCTGCATCCAACCCCCAAGTTGTGAGGGCCCCAAAAAGTCTTTGCTGAGCACAGCAGTTATCTTTGAAGAACTCAAAACAAAATAACCGCCTTCCCCCACTGAATTTGGTGCCAACATCAATCATAGTGAAATGCTGTTATCCTGCCTGCCTCTAAAAACCGAATGACAGCTGGCTTGCTTTCGGGCTGTCTCTCTCTGTCAAACGCTTGCTTTGCTTCCTCCAGCTCTGCCCCAGGATGCATGGGAACAGCCCCTGCTGTCTCCTTCTGGTGTAGCTGTTGCTTCCGAGGCCTCAGGGACACAAACGAGTGACGTTGAACGGTGTGGAGCTGTGCTAACCTGCCACAGGGCTGTGCACATCCACTCTCTGGGTTCATTCTCTGCTTTGAGGGAGCTCCCTCAGAGCAGACCTCGAAACCCTCTCTTGGTTCTGCCCTGGAGGCAAAGGGCTGTGTCCTAAACAAAGGCTTTACTTTCTTTTTCTAAAGTCACATCCTTCCGTTGCTGAAAACCAATGTGTTATTTACCTCGACAGGTTCTTCTTCACATTTCTCAAACATGCTTCACATGAGCCAAAGGTAAAAACAGGAATCCTGACCCCTGACGCTAGTGCGTACAATATAGCTGTGCTTGCGCATAACAAACCGTGGGCCTGAACTGGCAAATCTGCAGACAACGCTGAAGTAGGACTGAAGCTGTATACAAATACTAGATGTTTGTGTGGGTGCAGGTGTGACCACTTGTTCTATGTATGCACGTTCCCATATGTGTGTATGTTTTCACATAAAAAATGGTTTGTCTCTATGTCAGAGCAGCAAACGCAACTGATTCCTGTCACAAGGCAGCTGACAGCACACCTTATTTCGGCAACAGATCATGCAGATTCCAATCTGATCAGAATCACCCATTTTTGCAATAGCATAAACCATTAGGTTTATGACATGTAAGAAACGGGAAAAGAATAGAAGAAATCTGAGGAAAAAAAAACATTTTTACAGCTAGATACACAGCAGTTACCTGTAACTTGTATCTATTTTGTAAGAGGCCTCTGTCAGTTCTGTCACAGTCATAAAGTTAGGAATCAGTCTGCTTGCTTCCCACTTTGTCCATTCAAAGAGTCCTGGTTCCACCCTTATTTTGACTTTTTGATCTAATTTAAGCCCTGCAAGAATGAGACATGCTTCTTAAAAAGAGAAAGATACACTCAAAGTGCTGCATTCAGACTGTACATTTCCCCTTGTTTGCTGTAATATTTTCATTAACAAAATTAAATACTCATTGCCAAACAAAAGAGGATCACGTTGATTAGATGAAACCAGCGCTATACTCCTCCCTGACTAATGTTAAGGCACAAAAAAATTCTTGCACTATTATTATTTCTGGAGTTCTGTTGTGCTGATCTGAAAGATACAGAAGAGGTTAGAAGAGAAGACCTCAGTAATGTTGCAGTCTGAATAAACATCAGATGGAAAATGTTTTCACTGTTTTGCACAGTATTTTGTTCGGTGGTCCTTAATGGGACAAACAATCATGCTACAGTGTTAGAAATGGAATTCTGTTGTAAAAAGACACATTCTTTTGTTCATTATTCTCAAGCGAGGTTACTGAATTACACAGATTCCCAGAAGAAATGCACTCTCTGCCTAATTCTAACATAGACAGGATAATGAACCGAGAAGCTTTGACAGACCTATCACAGAGAAGAGAAAAGGGAAGAGAAAAAGGAAGAGGGAGAGGGAGAAGGAGAGGGAGGAGGGAGGAGAGGAGAGAGATTCGAAATATGAGGGAGTTAAAATCATTTGATTTCCAAAGGTAAACTCTTTCAGGAGAAAGCCATCTTCCCTGATTCAAATATGTATTCCTTCAGAGTGCTGGAAACATTTACTTTTTGGCTCCAAATATTTACTAGAAGAGGTGGCATTAGTGATTTGAGTAGAAGCCACTAATGTTGAATTCTACCTTGCATGAAAGGCCTCTGTTTCATATCATACTAGATTGAATTATAACTAGAAAGGATTGGATTTGATAGGATCATCCTCTTAAGATCATACATATGGCAACAGTTTTATTACTGCCTACATTACCAATTAGACAAAATGGCCTTGTCCGCTTAACAGTAAATAATCAGAGAATTGTACGTCATTGTAATTGCACATCTCAGAGACTTTATAGAAATTTGACAGAGACTTTTTCACCATGGCAAAAACCCTAATCAGGTCTGCTGCCTTACCTTCCAGTATGTGTTGAGCTGTCTGTATGCAGCGGAGCGCAGGTGATGAGTACACATAGCTGACTGCCACCTCCTGGTCCAGCAGAGCTTCCCCTGGAAGGAAACAGCAATGCGAATTGCTGTTTTACACATCACTAGAGATGAGAAGCTACTGCAAAGCATTTTCTGCAAAAACCATCTTGGAGCATTTTAATTCCTTCAACATGGGGTATATTGACAGTCCATTCCTATTAATTTTTACAAGCAGTCGACTGAGCTCACTAGAAAGCTCATTCTGGTGGCAATAGCAAGCTTAAAGTGAATGCTGGAAAGAGAATTATGGAAGATTCATCCCAAATCTGCAAATGGCACTTTGGTATTTGGCTGTCTCCATATTTCTAAATCATCAGAGACAAGCAAGCATTTGAACCAGATTTTTCTTGTCGCAGTCAGGCTTGCATGCTCTGGGTGCAGAAACAACTTCATCTTGGAAGTGGACCAACCCATATTGCCCAGGTAACTGCTACCTGTGATGAGCTGACCACGGTTTGCTGACCATGAAGCTGCTTCCTGAGGCGAGACCCTTCACTTCTCACTCTACCCGGTTAATGACAGCTGTATAAGACATTAGTCCCTCGCAGACATGCAGGAAGGCATGTGTAGTGTTGCAGCTTCTTTCTTTCAGGTGTCTTTGCCAGGAACTGGCAGGCTGTCTGTCCAAGAAGAGCAACCAGCACAGTTCTCTATTTTACTATATAACAAGATCTCGTAGTAGTTGACCAAAGAGACATGTTATCATGAGGGACACTGCTCAAAAGTATTTCTACTGCAAGGCCAGTGTGAATTTTTGCACATGATGAAAGCTTGTTTCCCAAACCCCTAAGTTTGCAGTGGAATATTATGCAGCTTACCTATTAGTCTTGACTGGAATATACCACAGCAAGATAAAGGAGGATCGTACTCAAAATTCTTCATGCTGTCTCTCCGTTTTGGGAGGGTGGAAGGAAAGTTCAGATCAGCTCTGTGGTATTTTCCTGAAATAAGGTGGAACATTTTGCTGCAGTATGAAGGAGGCAATAGCCGAATACCATGCTGCATTTCGTTATAAGTGCTTAATCAATTTTTTTGAATTCTTCAGTGGCTGATTCTGAGAACCCACCCCAAAAGTTACTTCTTTATTGGTAATAAAACAGGTTGAGACGCATTCTCTGACCATGAGAGCATTTGCCCAAAGAGCTAAATTCTCTTCCTGCCACCCCAAACATCCAAACTGTCCACAAGGAACAATCTCTGATCTGTGCTGTACCTCAAATCTCATCTGGAAACTGCGTGGATGCAAGGGAGCTATCATCAGCCAAGATCATGCCAGGGAGCTAGCTAATAACTGAACGGTTCGGAGGATCATGGGGCAATGCCTGAACTCACGTGTCTACAGGATTAGTTTACCAGTATAGACATAGTGTCTCATTGATGAAAATAAATAAATAAGTAAATAAATAAAACAGTGACTACTGTTACCTTGAAGAGATCAGATTTTAAGGTCACAATAGTGATTTGGGAAATCACCTGTCCTAAGCAAATAACACCTCTTTTGCAAGCTCAGCTTTGCAAGAGGACAGGAAATCACAGGAGTTGTGCTTTGTGGGACTCAGATAAGACAAAAACTCGCTCCATATCAATGTTCTTTTACCAATATTCTTTTACCAAAATCCAGTATTTCTACTGAATAAAAATGAAACCAATGAATTGATTATAGAGCCAGAAGGTTCCACCTTCGTTATCTAGTGGGAAATTCATCATCATGTGGCAGATCCTCAGGATAACGAAGATGGCTTTCAGCATAAAGCTTCCTTCCAAACTCTTCCTTCTCTTTGTTCCCCTCCTTCCCCTCAACAAATACCTCCCTGCTCTGAGTTGGTTTTCTGTACCCAAAAACATACTTTTTGGAGAGCAAGAGAGAGAGAGAATCAAGAAATTCAACTTTTAATTTAGGTAAGTGCTGACATGCCATTTCCATTATGGTTTGTTCCTACTCTTCCTCACCAGGTTTGATTAGTAGTGTACTGTGACTCTGATCAACATGATGAACTATCCTGATTCTGACTCTAGCACTGAAAGATATACACATCTGAGAAACACCACCTAGATCGATTGTGTGCCTAGCAGTAGAGTTTTTGTGCATCCCTCGGTGAGATAAATGAGTAGTATCACAAGAGCTTTACTTATTCTGCAGAATTTGTCTGACATCAGTATGTAGGACGTGGTATGTGTGTTAAATACTGATTATGGGCAGGTCAAAGCAGTGTTGTGTCTGACTTTGCAATGTCTTTAACTCTTCTGTCTCAGCACTTAGATTTACCTGCAGGAGACTGAATTTTTTGTATCCCTGAGGCTGAGGGTCAAGTGTTTTTGGTTCTGTTTTGGTAAGAACCTTCCATTCTTTTACTCACCGTCTGCAGTTAAGCATTGTTGAAGCCAAGACTTCCCAAAAACCTGATCAACTCTTTCACCATGACGCATCACCAGCATACCTCTTCGGAGAGTAGTGTTCTGAGAAAGCTGTATAAAAATCGTTTTTGTTATGGTATTATATTTAATCTGCATAATAGGTCAAGATGCCATTGTCTAGATGCTGCCCAACAGAGTAAGGACAGCTGTTTGTTCCTGAAAGGTTTACAGCATAAAGAAGCACTGAAAGCTGGAGAAAGCAGCTGCTATAGTAGAGGAGTGTCTTTAGGACACCTAGTAAGCCTGATCAACTTTCCGATGAAGGCAAAAGAAAGATGTCTCTGACTTCCATAAGCTACAAATTAGGTTTCAGCTCTATATTTTCATCAGCAAAAGGCAGTGCTGATAACAAATCTTTTAATCCTTGTGTAGGAAATAATTATAATTTTAATACATATTATATGGCTGGTATAAACAAAAGAGGGAAACTAATTAACAGATGTTAGTGGTAATGCTCTTTTCTACACCAGGACTAACAGGAAGCACATCCTTCTTTTCCTAGTGAAAACAGTAATTTTACCTGCTTTATATTTTTCATAACTGTGTTTGGCCAAGTCAGCAGTGAACCTAGATCTCCTCTGTGGCTAGTTTTACAATCAGATTGCGTGGAATTATAAATATATTTTAAATAGTTTGGGGTTAGTTTACAGCACACATAGATACAGATGAAGAGACAAAAAGAAACAAATCAAAGGCTTAAATTTTCTCAAGAGTAACCAATCATAGTGTCACTGCTGCAGCACTGAGGTTAGAGACGTGCATCTTCAGAAGTGGAGAAGGGAATTCTCAAGAAGCAGTACGAGACTTACACTCATGTATTCTGGTAAACACAGAATAGTACTGCATTTCTGCCATAAGTCTCTAATCAGCCACCACAAGAAGATCAGAGTTCAAAACTAAGGTTTTGTGGTCTTGTTCTTCTGCTTGGGAGGAACTCAGAAGCTGGGGAAACTCCTACACTGCAGATGTGAACGTCTTCAGGCCGAGCGGTGACTCTGCCACAGATCTGAGCCAGTAAAAGGGGAAAAGCCAGAGTAAGGGTGTGCGACTTTTGCAGGAGTGTCTCTCTTACAGACGTTCCTGAGATAAAACATTTAAGTGTACTCTGATGTGGAACTACATAAACCATTAAGGTGAAATCCTTAGAATTTGGTTATAAAAGTAACAACTAACTAATTCTGCTCTAGTTACTCTTCTAAGAACTCATTTGAAAGACAAGGGAATACGTAACTTGAGAAAAATATCTGTCTGTACCTTATTTGTGAGACTTGTCCCCATACCTCTGCACAGCTTGCCTGTTAAGTCTGTGCACAGAGAAAGCTGAGCAGACAGTTTATATGTTGTACTATTATGAGAGGAATAAAAAGAGATTTATGAAGGCTAGAGTACACATCACAAAATATATATGAGATACTCTAACATATAGTGTGAGCGTATGTGTACAGCTATATGTATATCACATACATATACACTCTACTATAACATGACAATGTTAAGAAGGAACAGGAAGATATAATTAAATTTACTAAATGTTTTTATTTAAGAGTGTATTTGCACAAGCACATGACAAAGGTAAGGAAAAAAAACCTCAGCTACCTGAACTGAAAGTATGTTGGTTACGCTTCTTGACATAACTGGATTATGGGCTTCTCCATTCAGCTTTACATTAGGTTCACTATCAGCTTGGGTGAAAAATCTCGAAGCTGGTACAAAAGCATATTCTCTGCAGAAAAAGTAGAAGCAATATATACATAAATATGGGTGCACACACACCAATAGAAGGGATTTTAAAATCATCACATTTTATACAAGAGTGTGAAAGCCAAGATTCATATTCTGTTCGGTACTCTTTACACACTTGCTATCCACTTCGTCACCTTACTCTTTAGCTAGAATCTGTCCAGAAGCACAGATATAGTAGTAGAAAGAGGTTAAAATAATAGTAACTGACAGCATATATTGAGTGTAACCCTTCTAAAGTATGAACTTGGAAAGGAAAATGTTACCTGATTACCTTCTCTCTGTCTTCGTGGACTGAGCAAGGACTGCACCTACAGTTCCCTGCTTAGCAAAATTGGATCTAATCTACAAGTACCATCAACAGCACTGCCAACTACAGAGCAAAGCACAGGAAGCCAGATAGATGCCGGTTGATATGGGGTGATTCAACAATACAAGGATGGGCTAAGGTGGTGCATTTTTTCATTTCAAGTTAACTTTGCAACCTCTTGAAATGAGACGAATAAAAGAGAAAAGAAAGTAGTAAGCCAGACTGAAATCTTAAAATTCATTAGCATGTTTAGGTTATTCAAGAGCAAACAGAGGTCATCCTTTCAGCAGCTGAGCTAATGTGCTCTGGGTTTCTACAGGTTGGTATCTTACATCTTTTATTGCAGAAATCCCAGCTCCCCATGCAAACCCCAAGGGTTCAACCCCTCCAGCCACAAGGCTTGGCGTGCTCCCCTCCCCTCTGCCCATGCCACCTCCAGGTGGTGCCTGGCAGCCGACAGCTCACAGCGGGGATGAACTCTGCCATGTCCCTGCCATATGACAAGTGACTGGTACAACGCAAGCAATAGGCATTAAACCCCAGCACCTACAGAGGGGACCGCAACTTACCTGTGCTTAACCCAAGTGTCTGACTCGTTGGCTCTCTCTGTGTAGTTTTCAGGAAGAAAACCTCTGCAGCCAGTCCGATGCGAGGTCCCGATCACCCAGCCTTCGCTCACATCAGATTGCTGTGTTGGGTCAACATATATGAAGTCCCCAGCATTTATCATTAGTTCATCGATGTTCTGGGGCTTATACTGGAAGATGGCCCTCAGAGTCTGGAGGAGAATAAACAGGACACAGCTGTTGCATATGTTGCAGCATTTCGGAGGATGCTTGCTCACCTCTGTATTGTACATAACAATCTATTCTCCACTCTGCAATTTATTCCTTAATGGCACTTCAGCAAAGAAAAAAATTAATGATGCCTTACAGTATGTGTAAAAATAGGCATTTGGCATTCATAAAAATACTTTTTTCCTGTAAAAAGTACAAACCTTTATCGTATCTACTTTTAGTACAAACTAAAAGCAGACATAGTAAAAGCATTACCAGGTCTTTCTGTTATAATTTGCAGTTCTCCTGACTGTGACCAAAATCCAATACATGACTTATACCAGAATGATATATAGATCTGACTAAAAAAACAGTCACAATTTATTATTCTACAGTTTCAATATGGAAAAGACAATAGGAAAAACGTTGATGGTTTTAAACTAATAGTCTATTAAGCAGGAAATTAGTGAGTGAACTGTGCCCTGCTCTCTGATATTTAACCTGCATTGGAACAATCAAGAAAACTGTAATTTTACTGAATGCAATTTTACTGCAAAGCTGTGATTTGGTCAGTTCTAGCAAATATTCAAAGACCATCACCTGTCTCTTTTTTTTGTGTGTGTGTGTCATTGTAAGCTCAGCTTTCCTGGAATCAAATCAACCATAAGGGTATCTTCTACTGATGCAAAAGTACATTTTTAAACTCAGAGATACTTGAAACAACCAAGCAGTTTGAAATATTGTGCTGTGCACACACCAATTTTGTTCATGGAGAAGAAGCAAGATATCTGTAGAAAAGATTATAATTAATGAGTCATAAAATTAAATAACTCTGATGGCAGTACCTGGTAATGTACAAAACGCATATCCCTTGAGTAGAGAGCAGCTACCCACTGGCAGGCCTCTGCTGGGTTGATGGATTTGGCCAATTGTTCCAAAGTCTTCTGATGGTGAGGATAAAACTTATGAGCCAAGGTCAGATGGACCTGCTTTTGGCAAGGTTTCACGTGGCAATCTAGGGATAAAACGGTCGGCCCATGTCACAAGATAGAAGTGAAGACCATTTAATGCTCTTATTGGTTTGTCCTATATACTCTGCATGATGCAGAAAATATCATAGTGCTTGGTGGTAGAGCTGACCGTATGTTTATTGAATAACTGTTTTTCAGAATATCATCATTTTAATCATGCCAAAATAATTCACAGATCTGGACTGGATTTGCTTTTAAGCTTTAGCTGGGAAAAGACAGTTTTAAAAAACTGCCCATGGGGGTTTGGTTTTGTTTATTGTTCCTTGGGTTGTTCTCCAAAGAAGAACAAACAGGATTTGAGTTCCTCTCTCAATCCGAGATGCTTCAAACTTGTGTCTCCCAGACAAAGCTATTCTGGAGCCAAGGCCCTTCAGTCTCCACTGGTGATCCAGCTTCACTTGGTTGTCACTGGACTAGGGAATAAGACTTATTTCTCAGGGATGCAGTCAGGCCATAAAGCTGGACAATTGCACCCTGGGAGTGCTTCCTGGCTCAGTTATTCCAGGCAAATCAGAGGAGCTCCAGCAGGAAAGACTGAGGTGACCTCATACCCACACAAGCTACATAAAGCTGGGTAAAGTGTTCTCCTGGGAGATGGCAGGGTTGGGTTCAAGTCTTCTCAGGCAGAGAGGTGTTTTGAAACTGTGTCTCCCAGCCTCTGGGGAAATGATCTAACCACTGAAATACTGGTTAGCACAGGGGAGAATGGCGTTTCCTCCTCTGTCTTCATTTCCTTGACTTTTCATGCTGTGTTTTGGGCCAGAAAGATATTTTCATTTGACATAAAAGCCAAATGTTGATTCTATGTCACTGAGAAAAAGTTAAAAAAATAATTTGACTTGATCCAAGAGGATTTAGTTCTGCGATTGGCTTGCCTGCCAGTCTGAACCATTAGTGACTTCTGTGGCCCTAATTAAAGCCTCTCTTTCAATACTACCCTGTTAACACCTTTGCCTTATCTTATTGCAGCACATCTCTTTCCACCAAAACCAGCAGCCAAATAAATAACACCCATGCTCCCAGGCCTTCATTTCTTTCTGCTTGGCATGCTTAAGGCCTCTTTGCTTTTGGTTTTCAAACACCGCAATGGAAAAATGAAAAAAAAAAATCAGTCAAATCCGAATGCAGGGCCTGTGGCAATGAAAGTACCCGTGAGGCTCTGCACTGGTGCATAGTCTCGTGGCTTGTGAGCCAGATCATCCTGCCTCTCTCACAGCCTCTTCCAGGCAACCTCCTGGCCCGTCTTTGCTTGCGCAGGGTGCAGTTTGGCAGCGCATCACCTTCAGGGCCACAGCGCTCTGCTGCATCCAGGCTTTCACTGCCACCCCCTCATGCCGCAGCTCACCACATCCTCAGCTGCACAGCTGCCGGCACAGCTGCCTGCTAAACCAGACTACAGAAGTGATCAGTGCTGAAGGATGAATGTGCATCCAACAAGAAGGAGGAGGAACAGTTATTTTTAACCATGACTTCACCAATCTGCTTTACAGAGCGACCTTGAAAGTGATGGCCTCCATGCAACGACCTGAGTTGTGGGGCTGGAAACATGGGGCTGATGGCAAAGGCAGCTGGGAGCTCCTGCAAGGGCTCTGCCATGAGAGCAGGCAATAGCATAAGGAGTGCAGAGGAAAGGCAGCAGGGATGTGAAGCTGAACATGGCAGGGGCGGGGGCTGATCTTCCTACATTGAATTTGCCACTGGAAGAAATGGTAGGTTGCACTACATGCTTCATCCCTTTCTCTTCCCCACTGCTGCTCTGACCGAGCCACGCTGAACAGGCTTGTCTTGAGGGAGGATGGCTTGAGCCAGAAGGGCAGTTAAAAGAGGGGACTTGGATAAAATGCTCTGTAACAAGCCCTTTTCACTGGAACCCTAACCCCAAATCTGGTGCTCTCCTTTCCTCTATAGCCCAGGCTTTTGGCAATCCCAGGGCAGCAGAGAGGCAGGCAGGCAGGAGAGGACGTTTAAAGGGAGATCAATGGCTCCCAAATGCAGACCTCTTACACACTTCTGTGGCTGAAGAGGGCCTTTGCCCTTTTTCCCTAAGAGGGGAAGAGGCCCTTTTTCCTTTTTCTCTAAAGAAAACTGGAAGGCAGGCAGGGTCTCCTGGTCCCTCCTTGGCCAAGCCTCCCTCTAGGGCAAGCTGAACCTGCTCTCATCAGCCCGTAAGGGCTGCTCATGGGCTGACACAGCTGCTATCGCTGTCTCACTGTTCCTTTGTCCTCGGCCGTCCCTTCCTTTCACTTGTACGATACCAGCAACACGGGGCTGGACCCCCCGGTGACGTGTAATATACACTAAAAGGCAGGGAAAATCTCTAGAGTGCCCATTGCACTAGCATCTGAAAGCACCAGCATGCTCCTAGGACCTTAGAGGGGTCTCTCTTCCTTAGTACTGGGGGCTTGGTTTAGAATATACCTCTGCATTTCCTTATTGCATTTATCACCCTGCCAACCACTACTGCACAAGGTACCTTAGTCACCTGTAAGATGAGTGTTAAAAACTCGTCTGTCCTTGCTGTGCCTAAGATGAGCAATTCTGGGGGTCAGGGGGATCACTAGCTGTTACACAACCGCTGAAAGGAAATAGGTGACTCAAACTCAGGAGCAGAGAGACCTACATGAGCACTGGGGAAAATCCAGGCCTGCTGGGCTGTATTTCTTCTTTCTTTCATTTCTGCCTTTCTTTTCAGCCTGGCCAAAGAGATTTGAATACCCCCAAAGACAGAAAGGTCTACTGTCTCCCAAGGCTGCATGTGAGACAGAGAACCAGGTATAGGTATGATTTATTTTTTCCCCTCCAAGCCCATCTTTTCTATCTTCCTTTTGTCCCCTCCTGATCATGACACCGATCCTTGGTGAGAGAAAGAAGAAGTAGGGGTTAGGTACAGAGGTCTACGAATAGGGAGGATTATATCTCTGCCCATCTTGGATATCCGGATCATTAGCCTGTCGAGTTACACAGCCAACCATTTCATCTTGTGGCTCAAGAAAAAAAATGCGAATAAAAGCACAATCAGATAGCAATAACCCCAGTGAAGCCAATCCCACAGAAATTTGTATGTAGCAGCTCAAAAATGAATAGCCCTTAAGCCGTTTTCAAAATCCTTGGAGAGGAGCACAGTATAAATGCCCACTAAACCAACAGCTAATTGTTCCATTTTGAGGAACTGCTCTACCCATCAGCTGTCTGCAAGATGTTACCAAGTAAAGCCTCTGCCTGAATTTCCTAAAGAAGAGAAAACTAACAAAGGCTTTTAGCATTTTTCTTTTTTCTTATCTACTGATTTCAGCAAAAGCAAAACCTTCTAGACAAAAGCATTGTGTCTTCAGAGTCTAAAACAAGCTACAAAACTCTCCTAGACGTAATATTTTCCATTCTGTAGGAGGAAAGGATGCTTGCTTGCAGTAAAATATCAGCTTAGCTCCCCTAGAGATACAGGAGATGCCTTCAGTATCACATCTAAGCATTTGTTTTACAATCCACCCATTTTCCCACTGATGTTGATCCTACCCGCTAAGGCTGAAGCCTCTGCAGAGAACGCCATAGCAAATTCTTTGAGGATATTTGCATGGCTGTCACCGACAAAGAAACCAAGGTAGCTGGTGGATGAATGTAGTGACAGGGAAATGAATGATGGAAAGCACTGTGAAAAACTTTCACCCACTCGCTTTAAGGCCTCATACAATAATTCCACCTTCTGGTCTTCGCACTGAAAGAAAACAGAAGAATATGCTTTACAAACCATCTTTAACAGGCACTTTCCTAGACTGTTTCATATAGTAATACCAGAAGGATGATGGAAGTTAGATTCCTTGAGAAAGATAGCACATCTATGAACTTGGCTGGTATTAAAATCATTAATACAGGGCAGTTTGGTCAGCACAGTATCTTGGTGCTATAATAGGAGATAGAGCCTTTTACCGTTAGGTTTATTTAGCCTAGGTAGCAAGGGGCAAAAAGATTTTATCATCTGATAACTGCTCAGTAGCTAATCTGAAATGAGGCAGTGACTATGACTTCCCTCTTTAATTTTAAGTAAGAATTTATATTATTGTTATCTTACAGCCTTTAATCTGAAATTGGTCCTATTAAACCTTCAAAATCTCATATATTGAGCTACATATATAGTAAAATTCACAAGGAATCTTTGTCAGATGATCTTTAATGCTCTAATTACAATAAATTAAAGGATTATACCATGACATGCCTCAGCAAAAACTAGCAATTAAGCAATTTAAGAAATGAAGAGATAAAGATGAAATTTGTGCCATCTAGCCAAAGACACAAACTTTAACGATGCTCCCTCTCCATACTGCTTTATTCTCCTTAACTGAGCTATTTGTTCCATTTAACCTTTATATCAGGTCAAGCTGGTCAAGAGAAGAGCCAAAGAGAAGAAAAGAGCTACAAAAAATGGAACAGAATCCAACCAGAGAGGAGGTTCAAAGCTTGTACCCATCGCACTCCATTCTCATACTGAGGTTTATTTGTTCAGAGCATGGGCGCTCAGAGCCCATCACCCCTCTCTCGTTGCTGTCTTTTGAACTCTCCAGTGCTCACCTTTAAAGCATTTCCACTTGCTACTTAAACAGTTGTTCTCTGTTAAGCATTTGCACTGTCCATTCTCAAGTGGACCCACGCTTCAGTTGCAAGCCACCACAACGGCATGGTTGTGTCTCACTTCTGCAAGCCATGCAAGCTCCTCTCAGATAAGCCAGGGGCAGGAGGACGTGCTAAAGGAGGGCATTAGCATACTGATCCATGTGGGGGGAACTGGGGAGTGCACCTAAGGCAGGCGCCATCGCATAGCCTGCTCTGAGCCCCCGGCACCACGTGACAAGTCTGTGAGCTGCAGGAGACTTGTAGAGTCAGGAAACAGGAGATGGACAAGCCGAGAGGAAAAGGTGGGAGCCAGTTCAGTGTGTATCACTTTCTATGTGTGAGACTCCCCCGGTCAGCTCTTGCTGACAGCTGAGGAACAAAGAACTAGTGGCGGATGTTCATGGAGGGTACATTTATCTCTAGAAATATGCTACCTGAAACAAGAGTGAGATGCATGAGATGAGGGTTACAATCCAGTCATCTCTTCCAGGTCAGGCCTTTAAACTTGACACCTTTCAAGAGCACAGCATTCATTATTAATTAATCTTTTTGTTCCATATAATTGTGATTAATGGCCACATGATAACAAGATATTCAAAATTTTGCAACAAGATACTCTTGTTTTCACTGCCTGTGCTCAGCAGTATGGTTTAGCATGAAAGTATGATTGAATGCAATAACTTTGTCCAGTTGCTCTAGGTCGTTTCTGTTTCAGTGCATCTCAAATGCAGCTCATGTTCGTGTGCAGCATGGTCAACATGCGGAAAGTGGATTTTGGCTGGCTCCAGAGTTTTCCCAGACCAGTGAATTTCTGCTAGCCTTAGCTTATATTGGCACATTCACTGAAACATGAGAAGACAGCTCGGCTGAGACATTCTCTAAAGTGTCACCAGTATTCACATGGTCAACTAGGAGGACAGTAGCATCTCCAGAACAAGAAAACTTCCCACCAAGAGTCCAGCTCTGGAGCCTAATTTCCCTATTAAACTATAGTCAAAATGACTCGGTTGCATTGATTGACTACATAGTCTGACTCTCTTTGCTCCTTCTTTCCTGTGCAATCTTATTTTTCACAGTGGCCAAGCTTCAATAGCAAGGGTAAGGAAGGACCCTGCCATCATGGTAAAAACCTACTGACTAGGGCGCTCTGGGGGAGGCAGGAGTTTCCTTGAGACTGCCACAGGTCTAGTACCAAAGCCTCCTACATCCTATGAAAATGTTCTCACTGTTTCACCATTGGCTAAAGGCAGCTGCTGCCTGGCAAAGAGGAAGGCTTAATATCCCGGATCCAAGTGGCGAACTGCACGCGGTGAGAAGTGTTTCCCATTAATGGGGCCTGCTCAGCCAAGGCTGCACAGGGCTGCTCTTGATGTGTGATAGACGTGTCAGCTGGCTACCCAGAATCATCCCACTCATCCCAGCACCTCATTTTTAGACATGCTGAGGTCTAAGTCAGGTATTTAAAGAGTGTGGTGGGAAGGTGGTCCTCAGTACCTATGCAGCAGCTGAATACACTAGTAGAGTTTACACACATGCCTGAACCTAAGTCATGTCAGTTTGATCACCAGGGAGAGGTTCTGGTGGGAAACAACTGCAGGTGGCCTAGTGTCACCAGTAGTCAATATTTGGCCCTTGCACGTCTTTTGTGCCTTACCGTGAAGAAATCACAAATTGTGATGTGTGGAAAAATCTCATGGGCTCTGTTTTTCCCACACTGGTGCTTGCTCTCCTTCCAAAACTGTTGCAAGCAGTTATTCAAGCGGCCAGTGGGGCACAAGTAAAGAGCATACTCCTGAGGGATTGGGTCATCCAACGAGGGATCATTGCAGTGGGAGTGTAACCTGAAATTGAGAGCATATTACACAAAGTTAGTGATTGCACCGCTTACTCTTCTTTCCCTTGCTTGAAGACATCTGCTACAGAGAGTAGGAAAAGGAAATATAAAGTTGTTATTCGCTGAAGATTAGAAATAAAAAGCTAAAATGAAAGCTGCTCACAGCTTTTCTCTATGGAATATTAACTAATGGAGAAAGACCTTCAGGGCTTTGTTTCTGTTTTTGTGGGTGCGTGTGTATGTTGGGCATTTTATTACATGTCTTAATTTTTTACATGTCTGAAAACGAAAGACAGAAAAAAAGAGTTTTTGTCATGCTGTAGGGTTACTTTTCCCTCTTTTTCATGACTGGAAATAGAGGACTGGAAAAAGAAAAAGGTAATGGGTAGAAAAAGTTAAAGAACGACAGAATGAAAAACAATTGAAGTTTTAAAATATACTCAAAAAGAACTATCATTTTTATTCAGCCCTAATAAAAGCAAAAATGACAAACCAGAAAATGCAAAAGCAAAAACCAAAAACGTGTATCGCAGACGATGACAGCCTCCACCTTGTTCTGACGTCCCGTATATTTAGCTTCACAGCTTTTAGATTGGGGGTGATTTTTGGAAAGGAGATAGCTTCCCTGACAAAGCTCTCTTTCATATTACCTTGGTTCGGGCTGAACATGCCATTCTCTAATGCTTCCTCTGTCTTTTCACACAAAAAACCCCCACCAAATCAAACCAAAAACTCAGAACAACAACAACAGCAAAAATAGAAGAGAGGGTGAGGAGAGACTGGATTTGATTTGAATAAGGATTAAAACAAAAGAGTAACTTATCAGCCTATGAATGCTCTGTGGGAGTCTCAGAATGGAGGAAAAATTCAGCATGTTCAAGACTAACAAGTGATTTTGACTCACTTCCTCCTCCCCCTGACTGTCAGCCCTTCAACTTACTTTATAGGAGCCTTTCTCAGGGCAAGACGACTGACCTGATTGCCTTCAGTCAGTGCTGTTTAACCTCATGCTGTAACTATGGATTTGTAACAATAACTACTATGAGGCTGACTTATTTTCCACGTTTTCTTCCTTCTTTCCAGGTCTATACCTTGTGTCCAAGCTCTGTTCCCTGCTGGGGCATGGAGGGGCCTTCACAAATGCAATAACTCTGCGCTGACAGAGGCAGCTGCAGGCAAAAGCAGGCCCTGATGAGCAATTCTATAAAGAAGCATGAGGCTTAAAATGGAGGAGGCATCTGTGCCCTCTGTTGCTGGTCATATGAGATGACCATCATCACTGGATTTAAAGCCTCTGCACTTGTCCAAGACTGCCCCTTCCTCCTCAGCTTTTGATTTACCTGTGCCTACTGCAAATAACTTCACTTCCCAGAACAAGCAGTTAAATGCAATTATTTCTTTCTCTTTGTGAACTAAAATTAAATAAAGATGAACTGGATAAAAATAAAATAAATGCAAGGTTTTTTAAGGGTGAAGGCTGCTGACTTCAAACTCACACGGAGGGCTACCAAGATGATTAGAGGGCTGGAGCATCTCTCCTATGAAGAAAAACTGCAAGAGCTGGCTGTGATTCTGTGATTCTGTGATTCTGTGATTCTGTGATTCTGTGATTCTGTGATTCTGTGATTCTGTGATTCTGTGATTCTGTGATTCTGTGATTCTGTGATTCTGTGATTCTGTGATTCTGTGATTCTGTGATTCTGTGATTCTGTGATTCTGTGATTCTGTGATTCTGTGATTCTGTGATTCTGTGATTCTGTGATTCTGTGATTCTGTGATTCTGTGATTCTGTGATTCTGTGATTCTGTGATTCTGTGATTCACTGACACAATCAGTACATGAAGAAGTATTTTTAACTAGGTTTGATATGAAAGCACTCCTTAGAAATCACAGACACTTACCATTTTGCAGCATCTTCCACTGTCTTTTGTCCAGTAGCAGCCAAGGCTTTTTGCCTAGAAATAACAAAATGCATTCACCAGAATAGTAGAAAGAATTGAAATGGTTTTCCATGACTCCATAAAAGAGAACGGACATTCTGCAGCCATCAAGTCTATTTTCCAGTACAAATAAGACCTACTGTGACTAGGTTATTCCTGAAAGATGTTTGTGTAACACATTTGTAAAGCCCTCCAGACAGTCTTTTCCACTGCAAGTCTTTAATTCTCTAAAGATAATTGTCTTGTCCTCCCCACAGGATGTCCCCACAGGATGTCCTGTCCTTTGTATTCCAGAGATATTTCCTTAGCACTCCTACCGAATATCCGGATTTACTTACGGTTGGATAACCCATCCCTGCACAGACTGTAAGAGCAGAGTTTGCTCTATTCATAGAGTAGTGTTCTTGCTAATGACGAATTCAAAGGCCAGGCCCAAGATCACATTCCACACATACAACCAAAGCAAAACATACTTATACTTGGGGTTTGAAAATCTATATTAAAAATTTCCCATAGCCCAGCAGAGAGCCAGATCTGAGCCACAAGCTCAGATGCAAACTCCGTCCAAGGTAAGGGACAATGTCCCAAGTTTCTCTCCCATATGCAACTGTCATTCTCTGGAAACAAATTTCATTCACATTTCCTTTTTTCACAGAGCTTCAAAATGCCACTGATGTCCTTCACATGAACAAGTTTTTGTGACTAAAGGCAAGGTTTGTGGAGAGTGAAGGATTTCCATTGTTTAAATAGCACTTGTACACATGAATCGTATTTTCAGCCCTGGAACCCATGTATGAACTTTTCAGAAGACACAAATAGGAGTGACAAACAGTGGGCATGGGGAAAAAATGCTAAATTACTTTGCATCCGTCCATATCTTTCTTTTGCCTTTGCCTTCTCTCTTGAGATCACGCTTTCTGGCAGCTGGGTGTTGAGGGCATTGGTTTAACTTAGTCTTCTCAAGTTCTTATCCTCCACTCATCCCCATGGCACCTGAGCATGCGCCAGCAGGGCGTTAAACAGCAGGACCCAGGCTCATCCTGGGTGCTTCTTCCCAGCCTTCTGCCTTCTCTCTAATGCAAAAGCTACATACGGCTTGTTAAAAACAGTGAAATGTACTTTATGTGCATGATAAACTGTGCTTGGCTCATTAGTGGGGGCTTGACATGGCTGAACGCTAATGTGAGTCTTTCAGCTCCAGCTATACCACCTACTTTCTTTCTTCATATAGTAAATTAACTGTCACGGCCAAATCAAAGTCAAAAACTTAAGCTAGCTGGCATAAAACTAGTGTACATCTTCTGTAACTTAAGTACTCCTGCACTCTTTCTTTCCATCCTTCCTCTGGCTCCCGTTTCACCATCACATCAAACACAAATGACCTGCGTTTGTGTCATTCTGCCCATGCAGCCCTTTCTGCCCATATGCTGTTGAAAAGCCGCTGCCTGCCTCTGCTCTGCCAGAGATGCCAGCCTTTATCTGCCGCTTCTTAAACCTCAAAGTGAGCGTTTTACCACTTTATGCCTTGCTGCTCCTCCCACTAGGAGAGAAGCTCTTTACAAACAGCCCTGAAACCAAGCCTGACTTTAGCTTTTCTTTACCATAGTGCCTACATGATCATAAGAGTAATATGACAAGTGGCATCCTGAGACCATTGTCCGTCATGGTGGGCCACTATTGTCTCCTTGCTCCCCCCTGCTCCTCTCTCAGTTGGTACCTGCCTTTTATCTCAACATTTATTTTGGTTGTAGGGTGCCTTCTGGCAGAGCTTGTACAGCCCTTAGTGTGAGCGAAGCACTAGGCTGTGGCTAGGCTTCCCATGCCTCCAAGCTGAGCAGTGAAGGTGGAAAGATAATGCATAAAATAAATTCTGTATGTACAGAATTCTCTCATATAGAAAGTAGGAAGAAACACTAGAAAATTTATGTTACAAATAATAGCTTTACAGACAGAAGAAACTGGGGCTTCCCTAAAGCAGAAACCGCTGTCACAGTTCAGTGTGGTCTAAGCACGAGGGGAGGCCCATTTTGCTGACTTGATGCCTGGCTTGATCCCTTCATATATTGTTTTTGTTCTTTTAGGAAATGTTACTTTGGCATTTCAGTTCTACATTATAAGAGATATTGTGATATTTCTATCCAGTCTTGTTTTCTTCAGGCCAGGATATCACAGAATAACAGTCTTTCAGTACTTTGATTTACAGCTGAAACCAAGAATTGCAGAGAAAGCTAACAGATTTTATAAAATGTATTTCAAAATTTGAAGAACTTAAAATCATTAAAGGCAAATAAAAGTTAAAAAAAAAAGACTTTTTGACATTTTGTTTTTTTATGTTGATTTGCATGGTACTTTGGCCACTGTTTGTTATTTTTGACCTGGGAAGCAAAAACCCATGTCAATAACAGCAGAAAATGTTTCAAAGGGAATTTGAAGAACATCAACTTCAGAACCAAAAATTTTAAAACTATCCATTACTCTGGAGTGAACAAACTTGTAATACCTACTAGACAAACAGTGAGTTAGATTTTCAGATAAGCTCCACAGCTAAAATTCCACGGGGAATGATTGGGAACAAGAGGCCCAGAGTATCTTCGTAAGCTGTGCCCATTATGTCTGTGGTAGTTCCACTAAACAGAGATGTTCCTAGAAAAATAAACGCAGTATTTTTGTACTGCACCTTCTCAACTGGTTTAATTTTCAGTGAAAAGTCAAAATGGAAGCCACAAAGACATGCTGCTCTCCCTTTTCAAATAATTTTCATGAGGAGTTCTTTGATGTTTAAATAAAGGGAGTTATTTTTTGAAGAGCCAGTTTTGGCAAGTATATGGTTCAACTGACCACCGCAGAAGCGTCCAAAGTTGTCGTCCAGAAATTTGAAAATCTCACATAAAGCCTGTCTATCTAATCTGAATGATATCTGGCAAGGGAGTGACCATCACGTTTCTCTTTTATTAGCTCAGTTGCAAATGCTGTCCCCAGTTAATCTTTTATCAATTGGGGTTGCGAAGAACAGCATCTGATGTTTTATTATTACACAGTATTTTCCAGTTAGGACATGCTCTTGGAACAAGATTCTGACTTAAGAAAGTGATAGACTTTTTGACATTTTGTTAAACATATTAACGTCATTAACATAAAAAACCTACTTATATACTAACAAAACAAAATTTGTTAGTAACAAATTATAGCATTAACAAAATACAGCATTTTGTTAAAAAAAGCTTACTCTTTTAAAGCAGTTTTCAGTGACAAAATCCAGCAAGAGATCTTTGCCAGACCTGACAACAACGTAGGATAGAAGGCACATCCACATTTAACTCCCTTATAAGAATGATGATAAGCCCAAAAATAAAAGAGGAATTATCCCGAGAGTGAGGTATGGATGTCAGCTTCTTAAGTCATTTTGAAGCCTCTCAACCTCAAGATGAGTATGGATCTTCAGATATACACATAATATTGTACAAAATGGATACAGAGCAGGTTATTTTCGGAATACCAACAACACACTGTTTTACAAGAAATTCAAAGTAAGACTTATCTAATCCCTGTGTAGAGATATCCCCACCTAGAAAGGGCATGCTTTCTCCGCAAGTTCTCTGTGTTCAAATTCTTACCAGAAATACCTCCTGCTATGTAAAGGGAGCTGAAGCACATTACTCACGCGATATGAGCTGGGAATCCTTTGGCTAAGAGGGACTCAAGGAGGGAAGAGGTGCTTTTGTTCCTGTGTTTGTTGGACACCTTTGCATACAGCTGTGTCTCAGCCACCGCCATCTCTTCCACTCCTCCTTCAAATGTGTGTTCAGTGCTCACAGAAACTAGGGTGGGAGGATGAGGGCAGGAGAGAGAGAAAATGAAAGAGAGAGAGAAAAAGGCAGCTAAAACAAAATAACCTCAAACCTCCTGTGATCTTTTTGACAAAAGCTGATATCCTGTTTTCATATCATGTGCATCTCTAAATTTTTGTTTTAGAGCAGCTAAAAAAGCAAAAGCTGTCTGCAGTTTTTTCCTGACCACCCTAGCAGAACAAGTCCAGAGGTAAAAGACACGGTCAGCATAGGCTTGTCAGGAGTGTGAGACTGGATCTTCTTCGCTCAGCTGTTCATTTTAAATTCTCTTCTGGAAGCCAAGAAATTTACTTGAGCTGCTACTGAAGGGATGTCCTGTGGCATGTATGAAGTTGGCTGATGAGTTGAACCAACTCTTTTGAGCTAGACTTTCACATACTCTAGTCTCTACTGTACACAGCTCCCATTTTGGTGTCCTCAGCCAAAAGAGCATGAGCCGGCCAACTATGGGAAATGAAATCAAATTTCACTTTTTAGGTGTGATCATTTGAAGCCAGGCTTGGGGCAGGTAAAAGAGGCAGCTGGGAAAAGCTTTTCCTTCCCCTGCTACTGCTGCTTTCAGCAAGGGACCACGATTTAACAGTGCCTTCACAGAGATGCTTTGGTTGATCCCGAGGGCCTCTCGAGGTGACAGGTCAGCATTCCCCTTCCTGTGCTGCAGAAGAAGGCAAATCGGCTGGAGAGGGCCCTAAGGTGCTCCCTGGTCTGGGACTCACTCAGAGGGGCACCTCCAACCCACGCTGCTCCCTGTGTCTGCTGGACGGAAAGGGACACCAGAGGGAAGGGCCAGCAAGCTGAAAAGAGCCCCAACTACGCCCCGAGCCGAAGTTTCCTTAGGAGCATGCTGGTAGGCTCTCTCCCATGGCAGGATGCCTGTGCAGCCAAGGGGAGAGAGTCAGAGCACAGAGAGTGATTAAAGCATGGCAGCTTCTTTATATATCCTCTTTTCTTTTTATATCCTCCTTCAATTCCTGTTTGAAGTGAAAGCTGCTGAAAAAGTGAGGTAACAGACAAGGAAAAACTCTGCATGTCACAGCCTGGATTTGAACCAGAAATCAGAGATTAACGGAGTGTTATGTGACATCCTGTCCTTTGGAAATGCCAGTTTCCATCTTGCTCAGCGAAGGGACTAAACAGCTTCCCTCATTGGTACCAGGCTCCAGGGAGCATGTGTTTAATCTGCAAAACCTTAATTTCTTTCCTGCTCTCTGGAGCCTTGCTTTACTTAAATTTACTATAGCTTTTTGCTCTACCTCTCCTCCCGCTTCTTGCCTCCACCTTTCTGCCATCTCTCTCTCGTCTTAAAAAAAAAAAATCAAGCCAAATCATGCTTATACTTGAGTATTCTCTGAAGCTGACCATACGTTTTCAGTCTCTAAACCCCAAAGTAGAGGTAAGCTGATCCTTACCCTATCAAATCAAACATGTTATTTTCAGGATTAGGAGTTACTGCTTGCAAAGCACTTCCAAAATATTGTCAAATATGTAATAATTGAAGTTATCCATAAGTAAAGCATGGGTCCGTTTCAAAAACTCTCTTTAAGCGTCCTCTTTGCTGCATGCGCGCAGCAAAGGGGAAATCAAGTTAATGAAGAGCAGTATTAACCTAAGGCCTTGTTTGTCAGAGAGACAAAGCACCTGGGGCTTCTGCCTCTCGCAGGTTTTGCCAGGCCTGTCTCTTCAGCTGCATGATTTCTGACAGAAAAAGGAGCAAATGTGAGCCTGGGGCTTAACCTCTGTGGAGTTTCTTTGCTGGGAGGTTACAGAAAGGTTTTCAAATACTACAATATTATCTTACACTCTTATGCTAATTAAAAAGCTTGCTGATTTTTTTATCTTCCCCTTTCTGTAGCCATGCCATCCAATGCCACCTGATATCTCTCATCAGGTCGAATTACCCAGGCTGCTACAATAATGCCGTATGCAACAAATGACTGAGCTAGCAGCTCAGTGAAAACGTTTCCAGAGCAGACTGGCTTAGCAACCTCAGAATTTCCTTTTGGCTTCTTTTGATAATGAAGAGAGAAAACAGTTTTGCTTTTAACTATGACTTCGCAGGAAGAGGTAAGTGAAGCTTTGGGAGGGTGTGATGTCTTCTAGATAATGATACATCAGTGTTTATCTTTTGTGTGGTACGCTACTCAATGTTATTTTATTTCCAGATGAACAACTTATGTACCAGTTAGAAGGGTTCTTTTTATGTTTAAAAATGATGAGCATTTAGGTGTCTGTTCCTCTGCCTTAAGATTAGCAATTTCTGTATAAAATTTAAAGAGAAATGTTCAGAATTATAGCATCTTGAAATATATGTGAAATTTTATCAAATGGAAGAGTAGTAACCTTGTTATAGCTATTTGGTGATAGGTGAAAAGATATTCCATGTGACTTCAAAATTAATGTCACAGACAAAAGACACCTACTTTGCCTAAGGCTTGTCCTTGTAAACATTTCTTTGAGTTGACTCTGTAAACACTTTTATAGCTTACCAGCTCCACTGTCTAGCCAACTTGAACTTCTTTCACGCCACTGTAAGTTCAAAAATCTGATTTCTCCTGTCATTGATTGCCTAGTGTTCAGAACTAAAGTTAGAAATCGGAATTCAGGATGAATAACTTTAAAATTCTAATTATAGTGTAGCCCATTTTAATTGCTTTACATTGTGTACAAAGTGATCAAAGGTTCTCTGGAATAAAATTCAATGGGTGCATGCATGAGGGTCCTATAACGCTCTGTTCAGGTGTCACATACTTCCGTCCTTCTCTTGTTCCCATTTGCAGTTAAAGAGTATCTCGCTGAGACAGACTTGACACTTAAGGGAAAATGTCCTACAGTGCGAGTTATTACAAGTGGCTGTGGTGCTTAGGAAAACTTGAACAAAATTTGACTTCAGTACTTCATATGTAGTGCTTATATATTTTAAATATGAGAGCTCTTCTAATGACCTTGAAGTGCACACCATTTTACAAGGTGACTTCTCTTGGGCAGACACAGCATTCTTGACATTCTTGAAGATTCTTGAAAAACCCTGTGGATGCACTTTGCCTCTGTGTTTGATTCAAAAACAGCAATGGGAGTCTGAAGGAAAACTACATGTTCCTTAATATCAGAAGGGTATTGGACTTTTTAGAGGTGATAGAATTAATTTATTTAAATATTGTCTTTTGTTTTCTGTTGAGCCAGGTACAAGAGACAAATCCCAATATTGGAAGTCTTGAAATCATCTCCATTACAGAAGATGAACTGCCAGTAACAGAACTTCATTTTTCCTTCAAAAGATTCTTCTGCATACCACAAACAAAGGTGGACCCCAGTGCAGATGGATCCGGTAGGGATACTGCATAGCTTTCGGCCCATCGCAGTCTAAACAGCTAATCCGAGTGCTTATCCTCGCAAAACTGTGCTTGCCCACTCATTCGGAGAAAACAATTACTTAGGGGAAGAAGAAACAGAATCTCACTCCCCGAACCATGACATTTGCCAGCATGTTAGCAGGGGATGACATCCTGTGTCTGCATGCATATGCAAGCATTTCTCACAGCCAGACTATTTACATGCTTCAGCCCCAGAACAGATATTTGCTCATGCTTTTTTGATACGTTTTTGAACGGCTCATTTGAAGTTTTCCCAACGTGAAAATTGAATCCATTAAAAAAAAGTGAATACATAATAGAGTAGCCTGGGAGGAATAACGTGTTTGCTACCTCACATAGGTTTCATTTTTTTACCTGCTGAAATCACTGACAGAGATGTCCTTTAATTCCAACAGAAGCAAGATGAGCATCAAGGATGCAGGCAGACCAATTTGATTTTCTAGTCCATGAGCCACTACAGTTGTCTGAAAATGATTACATACCAAACACCTGTTCTGTTACCAAAACCAGATACTCGGTTTCTCCTGAGAGGGTCTGAGTAAATTGGGATTTACTTCTAGTTTTATAACTACTAGGACACACTTAGCAGCCTTGATAGAATTTTAAGTTTCTGCCATTCCCAAATTCAAAAATTTAAGAATGAGAGGGTGAAGAGCTGCATGAATTAAAATGGAAGACAAAGTTCTGCCAGCTCCTGTGTACATATGTAACTGAGCTGTGTATGCTCTTTTCTTGAGTTTGCCCTTTGTATATCAGAATATATTTGACAAAAGCGGACCATTCGTTATTTTCAGTTGTCGTCTTTATTCACAATGCCGTTAAGTTGGAGGTCAGCTATGGAGATGGACAGTGAGCAAAACCATTCCAGATCAGGTCAGCTTATGAAATGTATGCAGCGATTACTGCTGATGCTCACTTTAACTTGAGGTACTCCTTGCCTTTACAGCAAAATTTTGGCCAGATCACCTTTTCCCACATTTTTCAAGCTATCTTCTAATTTGCGGGTCCTGATTTTGCAAATTTAGCTTTCTGTTATTGCAATCAACCTTGCTTACAAGTCCAAAAGTACCTGTAGCTGCCTTCCTTCTTGTCTTGAGCACCTAGCTACCAGCTAGTCCTGTCTTATTTCAAATATTCCTGCTCCTGCTAAGCTCTTTAGGCAACCCTTACTCTCTTCCACATCACTGTTCCTCTAAACTTGGAGGAACGCAGCATGCATTTGACTTAGATCCCGAGTGAGTGAAGGGGAGGTTTATCACCCCCAGCCTTGGCCCAGGATTTTATTTCTCCCAAATACAGTGCTCTCACAACAGCTTCCAGCTGGGAGCATGGTTGGAGGGAGTATCGGGGCCAGAGACTTGATACAAAAAAGCATCAGGAGACATCACGGACAGTAATCATCATAACAATGGCACTAAATCTCATCATTAGAATAGTTAGTTCTTTGTTACTTCTGCTGAAAGAATTTGTGAATCCATTTCAGCTTTCTGAATTCTTTGAAAAGTACATCTCTACCCCTTACACAGACGCGATTATGCAAAGAAAACGGGTCTGA